TATCCTGCACAAGCCTGAGTTATCAGGCAGACTCGCCAGATGGGCCATAGAGCTCAGTGAGCACGATATCTCATATCATCCAAGAAACGCCATCAAGTCGCAAGTACTTGCCGACTTCATAGCCGACTTCAGCGCAGAGATACTACCAGAGGCGGAATTAGAGGCACGCCGTGCCCCCTCCAACGCCGACCTATGGACTCTTTACACTGATGGCGCCGCTAACGCCTCGGGATCGGGACTGGGACTCGTTCTCGAGGTCCCCACGGGCGAAACAATTCGCCAGTCCATACGATGCCCCGAGATGACTAACAACGAAGCCGAGTACGAGGGTGTTATTGCAGGTTTGAAACTAGCCATCAAGTATGGAGCTCGACGACTCGTTCTCCATTGCGACTCTATTTGACTATTGTCGTCGCCTTGTGGAAGGATATTCTGCCGTTTTAGCTCAGTGGCTCGAACATAAGCTTTGTGCTAAAGATTGATTAATATACTCATACATGTTATATTATTGTCAAAAAGAAAAAGAAAAAAAAGAAGTGCATATCTTTTCAATGCCAACATTCTCGATATCGTTAAGGATGTATGTGAAAATATTCTCGACTAAGGCGTCAAATGAACGCACACCCTCTACTGTGTTTAGCTCTTGACATTTGTGTAATTCTTTCATGTTATTAAGAATAAAGATTATTAAAATGCAGAGACTTCTTTTTGGGTTATTGAGTACCTTTACTTGTCTGAAGCCTATTCTATAAATCGGAAGACTTGAAAGATCTGTAGCTCAGAGATTTGCTGCCTTTTTTAGCGTAAGATCTCTCTTATGCTTTCAGTCTAATTGCTACGAAAGCTGAATATCTCCATTCCAAAACGTTAACATAAGTCCTGAGGTAAAATACTCTTGCCTTTTCCAATATTTCAGAATGTATTACGGCTCTATCTATTCATAAAATAAAGAAATTTCAACATTTAGTAATGCTAACGCATGTATAAACGAGGTACACCATACGGCAAAATAAATACCTTATAGAAATATAGACTACTTTTCGCCATCATAAGTTTCAATAAACATACGCTACAAAAAAAAATGAGGACCACAACATAGATAACCATACGCTTTTAAGGAGCTTTTGAATGCTCGAAATGATCATTCCAAAATTGAGGAAAGCAGCCTCTAAGGGAAGATCCGTAACATATCATTGTGATCCCAAGGGTACAATTATGTACATGAATACACAGTTCTGACTTTACAAACTACTCAAGACAACTTTTCAATTAAGATGGATACAATTATGATGGAAGCAGTGCCACAAACCAGCGTTTCTCCAAAAGGGAAAGCAAAATCAAGAAAGCTGCTTTGTTTATTGGGTTAGTACCTGGAATATAATCGAACTTTCTACAGCTCAATGTGAAGCTGTGGGTCATCGATAACTCTCATTGGCTTCCAATCCGATTCTTCTCTTGGCTGCCTGAGAGCAACAAAATGAAGTGCATCACTGCGCACCTGGTAGATATGACATGCCCAGGGATATGAATCCGGCGCTGCCCAGATCTTTTGTTCTTCAAATACTGTCTCCTCGGCCAATGTTTCTGCGACACAGTATGCAGCATTTGGTTCCGGCTCAGCAAAATCAGGTACAGCTACACATCCCGGAGATACAAAGCCCTCAGGAGCATGAGGATGCCAAATTGATATGGGATTGGTGTAGTCATCCGAGCAGTTCCTCCACACCAGGTCATAACCGACTGGGAGGGCAAACAACTTGTCAGAATATCGGTATACAGCTGAAATATTAGGAGGATGACAACCAACACTAGTAATATCCCCAATTGAGATGTACCCATCGAGTAAACAGGAAGGGCGCCAAATACTAAAGATTCCACCATCTTCTGAAACATTCTTCTGGCACAATGTACAACGACCTTTCAACTCTCGTCCATTGCTCCATACCTTGGAAAATGTGATAGCATGTTGAACAAATTTTCTTCTATCAGAGACAGCACCCCAGGAAGCCAGCTCCCTTGATTCAATTATGGCCTTTTTCTGGCTAAACGAATCTCTTCCATCATTATCATTTGAAGCAAAGGATACATGCCTCTGGCTTGAAGGAACCTTTAGCTGCAGACATGCCACGTCAGTTTGGTGTGCTTTCCATATTTTACGCACAACCGAACAGATTCTTACAGCTTGAGGCACCTCAGTTTCTTCTTCAGTGTAGCACTTTATTACACGGACAAACTTCTGAGACCTTCGGAATTTTTTGATATGGATGATCAAGTGAGAAGGTCTAGGGTAGCCAGCTTTTGCTAATTCAAGTGCCATGAGTTCTTCCCAAGGTACATCCCACATGATTTTACAGGGCTTCTTGTCCATCTTATCAGCAGACACACACTGGAGGAGCATTACACGTTTATTAGTCACTAAAACAATCCGCTGATAGGGAACCATAAAGTGATTTTCATAATAATCAGACAAGGCAAATTTAGAAGGCTCTTTAAATAGTTCAGTGCAACCAAAATGTCGGCTTTCTTCAGCAAGGTGTAGTATCACTTGACCTAGTGCTTCTCGCTCGCTGTAATCTCTAAGTATATTGTCTGCATGAATAGCACGGGGATTTCTTATCCTGTGGAAGGTAGTCTTGTTACTAAGAATTTCTATGCAACGAGAACAACTTGCACCAATCCCATCGACAGTCAATGAAAAGAAGTCCAATGCTCCAATCACTGGTTGAGCAACAAATCCCACAACAGCTCGTCCAAGCCCATGGGCAAAAGCCAAGAAGGCCATCTTGTCTAGCACTCTCCACAGGCCTTGTCACAACCCCAGAAACTCCAAATGCAACACCTTGTGCTAGGGCTTCAGTCCCTTGCCTGATCCCCTCACCAACTCCCGTTATTCTTCTTGACCATACCTGCTTTGATCGCAGCTGGAAAAACAGTCCATCTGTTGATAGTTGAGCAAAGCCTTTGCTGAGAGAGGCTAAAGTTGAACTTGTCATACCCAATACATCCACTGAAAATATTAAGAACAGAGGGTTATGAATTAAATCTCTCCAAATACGATTTCCCACTGCAGAAATGACAGAGCTTTTTCTCATAAATCTATCTCTGCGGATCACTTTCCTTAAATGGATCTGTATTTTAAAGGCATTTCCAACAGCCGACAGCACTGGGCCCCAAACGCCTAGAACCCCATCTGGTCGCTGAGCAGGTGCACTCTCCAATGAAACCTTCAGCCTTAGTTCAGATATATCAATCAAGTCTACACGTATTTCAGGATCAACCTGGCTGACACTAGAACTGTTTGGTAGGCGATCTAGTTGAAGATTGTTGTAGAAATCTACAAAAGCCCAAATTATTGGCTCATGAATGTTAAGCCTCCAGCATTTATCTGTTACCCTTACATAAACATAAGGGTATACCTGGACACCATCAATGTTCTCATTGCGCACTGTAAAGGTCATCTTGAAGACTGGATGATGCACATCAATGTTTTGTTCAGGTGCCAGCAGTACAGGCATCAATGTGAGAGGCAGTTGATTGTCAAGCTGCAGGTACCCCAATATAAGCTTAAACCTGCTTGTGGTTCCACCATCATATCCTGTAGAATAGGATATGAAGACTCTGTCCAGATACAAATAGGATAGTTCTCTGGGTCTATGGTCCACAAAAGAAACCCCAATAGCACCCAACTCAACTGTAATTTCTAAAGGAGATCCATTCTCCTGCATCTGGTTCTGTATGTGAGAACTGCCAAGATTTCCAACCTCTGCACGAGACATGTTCCCTTCTTTTGAAATTAATAATGCTGCTCCCTCGTCAATAAACCTAGCAACCCTGACATCAGCCATATCTATAACATGGAAAAGCAAGCCTGATCCATCACATTCAGAACAGAACCCTGACTTCTCCAAATCAAATTTCCAGACCATAGAGCTATCGCCACTATAAATCTCAGCATCAATAAGTTTTTGGCCATAGGGATTCTCGCATGAAAAGTTTGTGGTTGAAAGAGGCAGTAACTGGATCCATGCATCATTGCCAAATCCATATTGACGAAGTCTAATGACCATCCTCCTCGTCCTGTTCACAATCCTATCAAGCATATATAGCAGATTAACCAGATAGAATTGGAATTAATCAGAAGCTTGAAGTAGCAGAGACTGCGACCGTAACTAAAGAAAGGTTAATTAGGTACCTAATTGGACCCCTTGTTGATCCAAGGCGAAAAACAACTATGAAACGCGATCCTTCCTCAAAGCCACGAATTTCCATCTTCAAAAATCTTCGCGTGCCATCATTTCTCCTCAAGACAAGAGGAACTGTGTCCTCCTTAACAATTTGAATAGGAAATGACCAATTTGTATCATCCAGTCGGACCTTCAAAATTGATATGATATTGTAAGTGAACTTGCAAGCTATCAGCTAAAATAATGCAGTCAACTCTGACAAACTACAATGACTAACGGTCAAGAAGGCAGAAAAAAGAGGAATTATGCGGCATTATTGACATTTCCTTTCCAGAATGAACACGCAAGAAACTTCACCAGGAAATTTACTACATATCCACTCTTTCAATCTAGCACATCCTAAGGCCACAATTCTATGCCATGGTCCATAAACTATGGTCACACAGGTAATCCAAATAGTACCTTGTTTAAACAAATAGTCTAAAAGTGCATGGTAGCATCTATAATGGAACAAAATTACTTTGATTAAGGCATCAGAAATGGCACATAATACTTATATAGCACCATAAATACACTAAATGTCCAAATGAGAACTGTATAATCATAAGAAGGTTAAGAGATACATATTCCTCTTAGAAAAATAGAAGATCAAAAGACAAAAGAAGACTATTCGTATCATTCTGTTTTCAGAAGACGGTAAGAAAGAAAGAAGAGTGGACTATGTGTAAGACACACCATATTAGGGATGGATTTTCCAGAGAAAAAGCATTCTTTAATTTAATTAGCAGTTCAGATAACACAGTATAGAGAATCTACTCACCTGGAGTTCATCAGGTCCACCCGTGTCGCGATATATAAATGAGACTCTGGCATCAGATGCACGCAAAATCTTTGGCTCATCTTCGCTGCTCAATTTCAAAAATATGTCTTGACCAAGTCTATTGGTAAACGTAACAAATGGTCGAACAGTAATAACCTGACAAAAGAGCAGGTAAATAATCAATAAAAATGTTTGAATTCGATTTTATAGAAGTTTGAGAGCGAAGCTGCTGCTGTTGTTGAAACAGAACCTTTGTTGGAACAGTTTGATAAGGGCAAGGTTTTGATGATACAAAAAGCCGCATGCAATTTCCATCAGCGCTGTAGGCGCAGAAATCCAGCGAGCCATCCTAATATCGAGGACAGATGGATAAGTTATAAACTTGGATAAAACATAGTATACCACACAAGATTAAGATTCTTTACCATGTCACCCAACGGAGAAAGATCTTTAACAGGACCAAAACTCTCCTCACTAGACAGGTTAATTGATGCTGAAAGGCCTAGTAACTTGAAGTTTAAAACAGACGCAATTGTATTTCCTTCATATATTTCCTCCTCAGAGATCTCCTCCAGGACAAGTTCATTATTCCTTTTAGATAGCAAAGGGAAAGCAATCTTCTTTGTTGTCCGCCCACTCAAATCGATAAGCCTGAAAGTAATAGGTGGACATCGTCCAACTGAAAGCCAAAAAGGAGCATAGACCTTGGTGATCTTTGCTTGCAGAGGCCTTTCATGGGTATGCACATGTTCAGCAATTACTTGAACAATCCTGCACGAGCCAGTAGCTTAAGGCATTAAGAATGAAAATTAAATTCACCTATTTCACAAAATTAAAGGAAAGAACTTAATCAGCTCTCTCTTATTTTCTTTTGAGACCTTCCAGAAATTGAGCTTCTTAGATTTATTGTCTTTGAAGGTGCCTTCTTAGGATGGGATATGAGTATAGCCTCCTGTAAAGAATGTTAAGAAGTTAACATCATTTTAATGCATTCCAAGAGACACTAGAATCAACTGAGTTGANCCTCTATCGCAAAGTGAGAAAAATGGCCATCGGCTTGCATCTCAAGAACAGAATATTCAGCAGCAAGAGGAAGAAAATTGGTAATCGCAAGTGGTGGCCTGATCACGAGGGTCCAATCTTGAATAGGATCAGAGTGCATGTCCTTTGCAATCTCTGTTGCTTGTATGCTCAAGCAGAACCACATGCCGCGGTTACTATTGGATGAGGTTCCACTAACTACAGGGCAGTATAGGAGTTTCTCAGACTCACTGAGAATGGACACAGATATTCCAGAGTTTTCTGCTGGCATCCCAAGATCCTGAGTGTTTCCAGACATGTCCATTACAGAACTCCACGAATATTCTCCAGTTTTTTCCAGGTTTGAAGGCCTCACTTGCAGTGCGTAAAGTCCAGAATGGGTCAGGACAGATAAAGGCAAGGGAACAACTTCACCAGGCCTTACAGGCCCAACATAAATATGAGCCTGGGGATCTCTCGGCTTGCCTTTCCTATTCCTAAGCCACCGCCTCTGTCTTGCATAGTTTACAGATTTTAGTGGATTGGACGACTCTGGCCATTTCAAACTATTGAAATCTGGAGCATAAACCAATCCATCAGCAGTGTTCACAGAATTATTATCTACATGCCATTCATCAACCCATTCCCAGCCTGATGGAACCTCAACTTCATTTCTCCCCTGCCCAAATGACAGATGTTGATGGCTTAAGACCAGAAATAAGAGAAACCAATTGCTACATTCAGGCACAAAAGAAAATAAAATCTGGAGACATACCTCATTAACGTCAAACCACCCAATATCACGATTATATTTCTGGGTCTCAAAGAACTCATCTGTCACTATTTCATCACCATAAACCTTTTTTCTCTCATCATCATCTGGTCTTCTTTTCTCATTTAAAGCACCGAGGATGAGCTGTAAATCCAGCGTAAATTCGGTGTAGTTACGAACTGAAACTAGAGATCTAATATTGACATATCGATTTCCATCAGCTATGCTCACTTCACTGGCAACAACAGTATTTCCCAGTCGCCAACAAGCAGCAGGTGCAGCATAATTCAGCCTCACAGCAGTCCAAGGTCCCTCCCTGGTAGGACTAATCTGGATAAACCCAGATTTTTTCCGAGTGTTAAAGGACTTCCCACTCTTTTCAACTTCAAGTTGAGGAGACAAGTAAACAGCCAATTTTATTCGTCCTGATGAATTTATTTCTTTTCCTTCACTAGTCATCATCTGCATTTCACAGTGAGATAAGCAAGACACCATAAAAAAAGAAGCTAAAAGGGAAACAGTAATATTTTCGACATTTTCTTTTCAAGGGTAATATACAAAGAAGAAGGAACACAAGAGAAAATCACCATAGACCGCGAAGAAGACAATGCTAGCCAGTTGAGTTCAAGTGAACTATTGTAAGACACTGGATTCTCCTGGGGTCTAGATATATGGTTTAGAGGAGCTGATGAATAACCAACAATATCACCTGCAAAGAATAGTTTAAATTAAAAATATAGCACCACATATTGAACTAATCCGTATCAAGTGGCCAACTCAGGTGCCTGTTAAGCTATAGATACAAATACAACAGGACCGGTAGAAATTCTGATCAGGCTTTAAGCATTAATTTCTAAAAACACATTCTCTCATTTTCCGTACAGAAGCAGTTTGTAGTTAATGAGAAAACCTATCTTTATGATTCGATAAAAGATCCCTAAGCTTAAGCTTGTGGACGAATAAATCCAATTAGAGGAATATCTCAATAGCAAGGGCCACCTCAGAAGCCAATGAAGAGAAACTAATGAATGTAGTAGGGTCAGTTAAAAATCAGGTTTCTACTACGCTTTTACTTGCAATTCAAGAAAATATCATGGGATGTACGCCCCGCAAATTTATGTATGGTTTTAAACCCATTTCATGCTTCCAAATGTTCTATTTTAAATAGTTCCAAGTCAAATGGGAAACTTTGAGAACTTTTCTTTGTGATAACTTACACAACTAATCAATGAAAAAAAGACATGATATCCCACAAAAGACATGAAAAAAGTAGCCCCATAAAAAGATATCAACCTATCCAGTTGGGAAATGTATCATGTTACTAAATTATAATCAGTATAATGAAGTGGAAGCATTGGAAACTCAATTTACTATGAAAACAAGTAGCAGATGGTTTTGTGAAGACACAGGTTCCAGTGATGAAGAATCCGTATGTGGCCTTTATCCAAACACGCACAGTACACGTCTTAAGTTAAACTTTTATCTAAACATAAGCTGGCTGCAATTAACCAGATTCTGATTCTTTCTGATAAGCAGATTCAAGAATGTAACTAGACTTCCCAATTACTGCTCTTGACCTTATCATAACAATTTTTTCACTATCATTCCACTCATTAAATAACCTGTTTTACTGATTAACCAAATTTAAATAAGTTCGTCAGTTCTTGAGTGTGACCAACAAAGAGAAGATTTTCGGATATATTGGAACTCTTCATGGCTTGAGTTCATGAGAATCGGAAAGTGGTAAAAGGACAAAATCCCCAGAAATCAGTAGCTAAGAATACCTCTTCCCATATCCATCAGGACAAGCTCCAGAATGCAAAAATCCTGTTCGGAAATGGAAGCACATGATCGAAAATTTTCAGAAAACAATGAGAAAAAAGCCAAACTTCAAATAAATTGCAAGTTAACAAAAACACCAAACAATCTAGAAACCAAAAACATAACTAGTATATACAGAAATTCTAGAGAGGAGAATTTACTATAGATAATAGATCCAAATGTTGCGACATCATAACCTTAAAAGACTTGTGTCTATATGTGTTAGACATAGATGGCAGAATTTAAATAGTAAAAAATATATGGCAATATCCATCGACAACTACAATACATGCACGTAGGTGGAAAATGCTACACTTATATTCAGAATTATTGGAGGGAAGGATGGCTTGGGGAGGGGGGGAGGGTGAAAGGGAGCTGGCTGCCCTTACTTATCTATATTTGAAAAACAAAATTATCTATTTACTTAATCCTTCATAATTCAGATGCTACCTTCATTTAATGTCCTTTACTATATTTCGTTTGAGATCTAATATAATGACATGACCTTAGGGTACCAGTTTGGCTCTCAACTACAGGGTGCAATGGAAGGAAGATGTATCTTTGATATGCTTTCTCTCTCTTTTGTGACCACTATATGATCCTAAATGGTACCAAGCACACATCGAGAGGGGGCACAATGTGATAGGCAAGTCAAATGGATTTTCTCCTTGTGTTGGTGATTGAAGATCCTCATGATAAAGCACATTGAAGAACCTTGACTCAGAGAGCCGTTCAGTGTTGTTATTATATCTGACAAGTGCTATGTGATCACCAGTTGTACTCAGTGCAGTCCAGCCAATTGCTTAATAATGTATGTTCCAGCGACTCCAGAAGCAGATATAAAAATGTTAGTGTTTGCAGGAAACAAAGAATATAGATTGCAGTGGTTAAGCATAATATGAGCGGATCGTTTTTTGTTTATATACAATTGAAAACAATTTTCATTAATAAACCCTTAAAAGACTTTATTTCTGTATCAAAGATGGAATAAGCAAGAGGAACACAGCACCATACAATGGAGTTCAATCCGAGAAATTCATGTAATTATCTATAAAACTTGGAACGTCACGAGGTGCTACAAATGTTAACCCCCCCTCCCCTCAAAACATAAAAAGAGCATTATGGAGTATAGAATACTCTGTTTTCAACACCTTCAAAAACTCTTCCATTTCTGCCTCACTACAGACCCTCCCCAGACCCCACTTGTGGGACTATACTGGGTTGTTGTTGTTGTTCTGCCTCACTACAGTTCACAATGTAATGATTCTCTCATTTGTATTTGCTTCTTTCAACCATTTCCAAATTCAAGCTATAGAAAGAATGACTAAACAACTTAACATAAGAATCTTGCGAGCTGAAATTGAGTAACCCATTACGGCCAACAATTCATTGAATCTGAACTTTTAGATGATTATTTATTAAAGGATCAATTGATTCAATTTTAAACTAGACGCCACCTCTATGGCACTAAGCATTCTATGAGCAAACAGAGGTATATGTGGTAATTGTTTATGTATAGGGCAGATGTAATATCATAGTAATATGATTTCATGATGTACAATTCCTACAAGACTTTTGTGGAGGCAGAGAGTACAGACCGGTGAATCAACTTTGAAGAAAAATACTTCATTCCATTTCACTGAGATTACATCAGAAGATATAGAACCATATGAGTTATTGCCACGAGTACGTGCACTTTGTTGAGTGGACAGAGATTGACAAGGGTGACTCTCATCTGGAGCAAGACGGACTTCTACTGCATACTCATGAGAAGACAAGCCTTCAACCTGTTGGAACTGCACTTCAAAGCCGTAAGTGTAAGCTAAAACAAAATAACTCATACAACAAGATTTCAAACAAAAATTAATAAACATGTTATAGATGAGCCAACTTGTTAAGAATTAGCTGATTCCAACTAAAAGTTGCCCAGGGCAGAGTATTCAAAAGCTAAAAGCGCCAAAATCTGTCGGAGCTTTAAGCGCAAAGCGTAATTAAAGCTTGGGCTTCAGCGACGGTAAGCGCCAATGCAGAAAATAAAAAATAGAAATGTAATGCATTGAAGAACGGAAAAATTATAATTAAGCTCTATGTATGCTGATGTGACATTAAAGCTAGAACCTATGGGTGAAGGTGCTCACGCCTTAACAACACTCGGTCAGATACAGGACACTTTTCTTTATTTATTAACCGGTTCGGTTCGGTAATTTATTCGTTTGTTAAAAAAATAAAATTAAAACATACCCTAATTATTCAGTATGGTTATAGATTTATAATGGAACCTACAGTTTATTTTAAAAAACAATATCGGTTCAGTCAGTCAAATTGGTTTTCAAAAAACCATTGACACAACCATAGGCTATGTTCGCACTCCATACTGAAGACATACTTCTAATCGCTAGATGTTATTGAGGATAGAATCTCAACAACCACTTCCCCGGTAAATGTTTCTAGGTAGCAAATCACTTAGACCCTAACTACTTCGCAGGACTACCAGTCAAGAAGATGATTTTCTTCTCTCTCTCTCCAGAGCACAACATGCACAAGTATCACGGTTTTGTTGAATTGTTCAATACACGCCCTCATGTGTATGGTTCAGAACTTTTTCCTTAGTCCAAGTCCATAGAACTATTTTTTTATGAAGGGTAACAGTGAAACTCGACCTAGGATCTCTACTTGTTATAATACAGTATTGAATTGTGCAAAAACCTTAGTTATACGCTACAGCTTTTGAAGAGGAAACACGATTTATTTATTTGTCTTCAACAATTTTATTCTGTTATAGAAAGTTCTTAATAAAGACATGAAATAGAGCAGAATTTACATAGACCGTCTCATGCCTTGAAAAAAGAAGCAATATGCAACTCCACAAACATCAATTATGAAACAGCTAGTAATTTTCTTAACTTCCACGTACTCTATTAAACACTCTCAGAGTAATTTGATGCTGATGTATTTTACACAAAACCTTTAGCTTTTCTATTAGCATTATCAATGAAACATACCTCTGCCTCTGCTATTATTATTGTCAACATTGATTTGCCTTTTTCAAAAAGACTTCCGTTCAAGTGTGAATCCAACATATTCTTTGCAACAGGTACTTTAATTGGTTTGCTATCTCCAGACGGCATTTTAGTTATGCTTGGTAGTCCCCTGATTTCCGTAGCTCTTATGAAAATGTCCTGACCAAGTTTATTCTGTGGGATAATGAAATAATTTCTTCTGTGATGAACATCAATGATGGACCTGCTTCCTCCAATTGGTGAGACTGCATCCTGCCAAATAAAATTCGAAAAACGGGGATATGTCTGTCACTAACAGGAGGAGGAGGAGGATATGCTAGATATCTCATACACTATCTTATGAAGTACAGTTGATTGGAAATTTAGTTTGATTAATTTCTTAAATTACTCAAGTAATGTGTCCCAGATATTCGGTAGCAGGAAATCAACAAGTGGTAATATCTCATGTATATGTACGAGTAACAGCAGGTAGACAGAGTGAAATTTATAGTGTCAAGTAATGATATCCTTGAATGTGTGTGCTCCATGGGGAAGAAATTGATACCGGGCTAGAATATTTATTAAAGTAAGAAGATTTGCCTGGTAGGATTCCTTGACATTGCTCAGATTATTCCAGCTGGCATAAGCCTGAAAAATTGTGTTGGCATTACACACAGATATATTTAAGTTCAAATCCCCAGTAGATGCAAGACGAAGCTGCGAAGCTGCACCAGGAGCATTCACGTCGTACTGATACCTGAATATTTAAAAAAAAAATCAGTCTAAATAATAAATCCTAAAACTGAGGTCCTCTAATACATGCTGAACATTCTGCAAAAAGAAGGATTATAGGCTAGGCTGAAACCAAATCCCCCCAGTAACTACATCTCTCTGATAAGGACTATGCAATGTTGAACCCGAAATATAAGTAGACCTCTCACAAAAGCAAAGTTTGCCAGCCAAACACAGGCATAGAATCCAGAGTAGGAATAATTGACAAATCATTCTTGCTTCCAGTGTACACACAATTCGTACTATAATGACAAGGTTGAAACAAGTAAGTGGTCCAGACCACAGTTATGATCCAAATTATCGAAGGCCGAAAAAAAGGTCATTGCAATTGCACCTGAACATGTATAATATGTTAATTATTGGAAAATGAAACAATATTTGGGCAAATTACCACAAAAAAGTGGTAATATTTGGCAAGACAAGTAAGTAACTTGCTCTTTGTCCACAAAGTAGATAAGTTGAATGGAGTTAAATAACTTGCATATAAACAGTCGTTCCACAAGCAGGTAATGTATGGATTTCATCTAAGAAACATGAAGAGGAAGAGAGCATTTTATACGGTGTGTCACGGTAGAGTACCAGGGTCCCAAAATTCTAGTTTCTATTGCAAGGAAAATATCAATGTAAGAAGCACCGGGAAGTTCACAAAAGTTTCGAAGAAGAAAAACCTCAATAATCCATCAACTGGCTCCAAAAGAGGTTCCCAAGAGTCATACTTATCATTGTATGATCTAGCGGCCAAGGAGAAGGTCGCACTGGAATTCAGATAGTCAGACCTTTGATGTAGATTGAAAGTTATGCCACTGAAAGACACATTACATAGAGGAACCATCTGCAGATCGAGTAGAACAGTAGAGATGTCAGTTGACAACAGATAGACCCTGCCAATGTAATCTAGAATAACAAATAGCACGTAGAAGCATTAATGTTTTGCAGTTTACATGTGTCTATAATCCAGAATAATACATTATTCTTGATATTATAGCAAGAAGATGCCACATAGGAGAAACTTCTAGTAATACAAGTTGAACAGAAAATGTTTTGCGGTTTACATGAGTCTATAACCTAACAGAAGTATCGTCAACACAATTGCTGTTTATACTATCAATAATACACCTAGTTGCGGAAGAAACTAAAGCTACTGGAAAGCTTAGATTACCAAGCCACCATAATCATCAAAGAGGGCTGCAGAGAATGTTCTGATTTCTGCGTCAACCACCATATCATCTGGACCACTAGCCATATCTCGATCAGCAAGCTTTAAAGCAAGCCTCTTCGGAGGCTTCTTGAAACCACTGCGAACAATAAAGGTTCCTAACTCATCTCCAATAACCCATAAACTAAATGGCTCCTTCATAAATTTAGCATCAGATGTATCCCAAATGCTTTGTTCCGAAAATTGATCACTGACAACAATATCACTGCGGATGCATCTTAAGGAGTCAAAATCAGATTGCTTTGGTGCACCTTTACAAGCTATACAACCCAAGGACACAAAGCCTGGAGGAGGCTGAGGCATCCAAAAAGATATACTATCAACTGATCTATGTTTCTTCATCTGTCCCACAAGCTTAAAATCTGAAGGGGCTTTGTAAAGCTCATCACAATCATGAAGTACGATACAAGTATTTGGAGGCTCATACCCTTGAACTGCAATATCACCAAAATATACCTTCCCTTGAGGAATAATAGGGCGCCATATAGATAATTTCTTTCTAGATCCAGAACCTTGATTCCACCAAATTAACCTAAATGTTGCAATGGCTTCAGACCTGCCACCAGAGTTTACAGTGGATGACCTCTCTGATTGAACTGCATGATTACGACTAGAGGAAGCCGCGGTTTCTGAGCTCTTTGATGTTTCAGAGAAATCTCTGGGAAGCCCAAAGAAAATATGCCGAAGATCATATGCTCTGCCACACAACTCCAAAGTAGTTGGATCTGAAGGCAGGAAGGTACCAATGGAATTATCCACGCGCCAGAATGCCAATTTGGAAGATCTGGGACAAGACTAACTACAGGTTAGAATACATTTTATATTGAACTGAAAATCATATGTTGATATCTGTAACTGCATTACAGACCAGTAAAATTAAGTACAGGCATGCAAAACTAATATGAGTCGTATCATTAGACTTAAACTTAACTTGGAAGAAACGCACAAGACAAGAACATATTTGTTTTACCACGGGTGTTAAATAATACTTCCACCTATGATCCCATGAATTAGAAAGAAAAAAAATCAAATAACTTCACATACCTACTCATAATGTCAATATTAACACAATCTCTCAGATCACATGGTGAAACTAAAGAAGCTAAGATGCACCAGGCTGACGATATTGGAGGTTGCATCCTTCCAGGAGAGACTACACAGCCCACTGCAACATAACCTTTAGGTGCTTTAGGGAACCAAATGGAACAGCTGCTATCTTCTTCAGATACACACGTGGTTGTACCCAATTCACCATCCTTGTATGAGGATGAGGGCCAAATAAGCATGAAAGACTCTGGCCTCTTTACTCTGACAAAGCTGGTATTCACAGCAATGATTCCTTTTGTGGGTGGCTTGTCGCTGTTGAACTAGAACAGTTAGTGTCACAGGCAAATTTGCAAAGGCAATAGAGAAAACGAATCTGCGGAGATTTACTTACGTTGGTGTCAGATAGTCACCAACTGTCGCATAACCAGGCGGAGCACGAGCTCTCCAGAAAGCATATATCTGGTTAGACGGACCTGTGATGAAACAATCAACAAATGTCATTTTCATCAGTTTAGATCTCTCTTTAATGCATGGATAAAGTAAATTACTAGGTTTGGATGCACTGGGTCATACTTTTGATTGTCCCAATTTTGTCAAACTCGGAGCACACCACCGTCATTTTCTTTGATGTGGTCCTCAAAAATGCCAAAATATCATCCTCAACTTCCAAAAACAGTCTTAAGATGCTGAATGAAAAGTTCATAAAAATATCGGAGACAGCCAACTGTATATTTGACTTTCCGGAAGCATTAGAGAACTTCACAGAGGTATCAAAAGGTTCCACTATTCTAACTCCATTGCTCTCCATAGTTAATCCAAGAACATTTGCATTCACATCAAAGGTATCTCCTTTTAGAACAATCCTGGAAACATCATGGTCAAGTTTGTTACATAATACTTTTAAGAGAAAGCAGAGCAAGGGACGACCAGGCGTCCTCAAGTTACACTGAAAAAACAATAGAAAGACCAGATAAAATGATTACTTGATGATTTATGAGTACAAGACACACCTTTTTATAGCAATTAACTATTACATAGTGCTTTGTATATATTAATAGGCTTAGTGTCCCACATTGGAACATAGGTAGTATGTATTGTGTAAAGTATATGTATAAATAAAGCTGCTCAGCGTAAGGAAATAGTTATGACACATCGCAATAATATTTTCCCGTGCCTGTGTTTCTCACATGGTATCAGAGCCGGGACAATACCAATTCTTCATATACCCGATGTTGGGCCCCGATTATATTATCCACGCTCTAGATATCCCAGTCCTGAGCATGCAGGGGAGTGTTGGTTTCACACATGATAACAACTACTACTACTACTAATAAAAATAACTTAAAATTAAAAGTAATATTAAGAAAAAGTGGAAGCAAAGACTTGTACTTTATCCCCTACATACACCGGAGGCATATTTTTTCAATTTCAACAACATCGCAATTACGCGAGCTAAATCCATCAGTCATTACAGCGAAAGCCACAAGGACGGATGGAAACACACATAATGTTAGAATAATGCATAGTTCAATGTCAAAACCAAACACCTCATCATAGTCCCCAATCAAAAGGATGAGGCAAAGACCAATATGAGATTTATCGTTCCAAACAAAATCTTAAGTGTTTAGATGAGGTTGATTCATTCTTAAACATGGACCTGAGCAAGCAGAGGTCTTGTATTCAATATCACTGTCACCCGTGATCAAAAAGTTTTCACAAACTTAGCCATAAAAGGAAATCAAGGTAGGGGTAAAGTCTGCGTACACAATACCCTCCTCGGACCCCACTTTGTGGGATTATACTGAGTTTTTTGTTGTTGTTGTTGTAGCCAAAAAAGGAAATCAAGCCCGTACGTGAAGGAATGCATTGCAAATCCAAAATAAATAGAAGTTCTCACAGTTTTAAGCTTTTAGAGGAGGCAATTTACACAAATGGACAATCTTCTTTCTTACACTTAATGCAAAAAGGAAATATCATCCCTGTTACCACTAAATTGAAACAAGTAGAGGATGCTTAGTCTGCCGTGAGCCTCAACTCATAGAAAATCTTGAAAGGAAGCTTGCTTTGCAAATGAAAGGTAACACAAGAGCTCTTGTACACTAGAAACAACAGATGACAGAACACTCATGATCTCATATTAACTTGATTAGTCTTTGATAACTATATATTCACCTATTCTGAAAACCAAATTCTACTAATTATAGATTTTTGTCCAACATACAGGGTTTTCCCTAAGATCAATGTGAGAATGAACGGGAAAAAAATCTAATTATTAACAATGATACAATGAGCTCTATATATAATACATATTCTACTCCTACTACATATGGGTTTAGGACATATTCTACTCCTACTATATATGGGACTAGGACTATTTACACATAACTATCTAACACACCCCCTCAAGCCGGTGCATACAAATCATATGTACCAAGCGTGTTACGTATGTAACTAATACGAGAAGCAGTGAGGGACTTGGTGAAAATATCTGCAAGCTGATCATTCGACATACAAGGCCACCAGACTCCCCCTGAACAACAGAACCAGGTGGTTGCTGAAAAACAGAAGTTGGCCGAATGTCATCGGAAAATTTTGAAAATAGTGAGACTAAGCCGAATTCCACACTACAAAATAGGTTTAAAACACCACAAGAAAACAGAAACTTTTCTGGGGAAAAGTGCACTGTTCACGCAGGAAAAAAATTGCCAGAATGGCTGCGCCGAAAAAGTTATTGTAGTTCGCCAGAAGGTCTAGCGGCGCGTGGAGGCGTGCTAGTGATTTTGTGCCGGAGCAATGGACTGGGATTTATTCGCCTGACTTATCGGATGATGTTGGTTTTCGCACAACACTTACCGATGAGGAGATAACGCAAATCAATCTTGAGTCGTCAACCGGAAAGACACACGTTGACTGACTTTTCTGTTCTGATGGGACTAGAATTTCTGGGGTTTGGTCGCGTAAGGGTTTCGGATCTGATGGTGGTACTGGTATATGCACAGTACCACTGTAGCAGTGATGAACCCTGGGAACAAGACGAAGTTGCCGGAAAATTGCACGGTGATGAGATCTTTCTTCCCGGATGTCGCTGGAATGACGCACAACAATAAGTTTCTCACAGAAGCTCTGATACCATGTGAGAATGCACAGGAGAAAAATCCAATTATTAACAATGATACAATGAGCTCGGTATATAATACATATTCTACTCCTACTACATCTGGAACTAGGACATATACTGCTCCTACTACATATGGGACTAGGACTATTTACACATAACTATCTACAATCATCATCCTTTACACAGAATAATTGTCTTTTTAGTTGAAATTATCATTATTTTGACAAAAATTATAACGGTCTCGCGCACATTGCCAACCCATTTTCGTGAGAAAGTTGGCATCACAAGTTCAATCTTCTAGCTTACCTCCATTGCCATCCAAAAAAGAGGATAACACAATAGGGTCATAGGTAATCAAAAGAGGACTTCCCAACAAAAGCATCCACAAGTAAGAGGACAACACAGAATGGTACAACAGACAATGGAAGCTAAAATGTCAAATCTTAATATCATATTGAAGTACTCTCACCTAGAAAACCGAAACACCAAAAGACACTAAAAAGGGAACATCAAAAAGGGGTAAACACAGAAAAGAAAAGACCACTACGATTAGCGAGTTGTAAATCAAGTTCCCCTCAAAGCTTCAAATGCAGGATACCTTACTTAATGTCCAACACAAAAACAAGAAGCTGATTGAGATATATAATTGCCTCAAGAGAGTATATAAAGGCAACAAAAGGAATTTGTAAGGTGGGTTTACAAATGTCGTGAGCCATCAATTGCCTCAAGATTTATGGTTAGATGCATAAATATATTTCAAAAGGTATCAGAATCAACCTTTTGTAGGCCGTTCTTACTACCGTAAATCTGTATTTAATAAACTTGTGAACTCTAAAGTTGAGCCCCACATGAAAGAGGGTGTTTGGAGATACATTATTGTTTTTCCAAGGGAATTCAAAGAGTTTCAAAAAGATCTTGAGTTACTCTACCAGTTGGCTTATAACTTTCGACTGGATACATAGATTCTTTCCTGTAAACTACACATGATAAGTTAATTCAATCTTCTAGATGCATTACCAAGACTAATCTCGATCATCACAGTAACAAACGAAGGAAGAATTGATGAAGTAATCTAATTTCACGTGTCATACCAAAAACATTTTAAAAAGTAGAAATTGGTTATTGCAGTAGCTAGCATCATTCACCAACTCATTTGAAAGTATAATAATGTCAAGTATCTTCACTAAGCATTCTTAATCTGAAGAAATTGCATAATCAAAAAATTAAGAGAGCTTGCTGAACACGCCATTTGTCGCCATCTTATTGACATTAGAAGCTTACACCGCTAAAATCCCTCAAAACTAATTGAGAGAACCATTTTTAGAAACTAATTCAACAAACAAAGAATCAAGACTCTAACCAATCAACACATAATCAGATAAATCATCAGTAGACTAATATAAGTATTATTCTAGAGAGAAATGGAAGGACATGTTATTCCTCCTCGATAGGCCTACCTAACCAACTACCATGTCCCAAGGAAGCTGATAGAGGACTTCCATGCACAAATTGGAAAATCCATGAAACCAGGTAGAAATATGAAAAACATGCAATCCCCAACAAATACAAGTAAAAAACCAAAAATGGAACACTGTAATACTTAGCAGAGAGAACCAACCTGCAGAAGGCGTCCAACTGCGTGTGCAATAATTTGTTCGAAAGGGCAGCTGACTCTCCCACACTTCTTGATGTATTATAGAAGGTAAGCTCTGGACCAATAGCCTGTATTTTGTTCTCCATAAGATGTAATTAAAATTATAGCAAGTTTAAATTTCCATTAAATGACTCCTCCTAATTCAATGTACCAGATCATCAACACTATGTTTGGTCGAGATGAAACAAGGACAGGTGGGAGAGAGGGAAATAACACAAGATCGTTATGGTGATTTCCACCGCTTAGCAAGGAAATTAAGGACGAGGGGTAGTTAAAAGCAGACAGGTTCAGTAATCAATTTCCTACTGCTTTGAAATTGGACATAAACGAGGAAACACTTTACTTGCCCTCAAGTTGTATCAAAAAGACTGGATCTAAATGAGTAACTCACACCAAAAGAAGCAAAACCTAGAGGTTTTCTCCCTTTTATCCTTCTTCTCCATCATAGAATCAAACATAGTGCAAACAAACTTCACATGCTAAAACAACAAAAACAAAGCAAGATATATATGCTGTATAGTAGAGTCAAATTACTATCCAGATTGCAGACATTCTAAAGATTAAAGGAAAAGCCTCCGTTGATAAAAATGGCTGAAATACTTCAACTGTGATTCATGTCAGCAATGATAGAATTGAGAGAAGAAATAAGTGTGCCTTCCAAGTGACAAAAGTTTGCTTAAAAGATATAAATTTTGGGGGCAGAGAAAGAAAGCAGAACTTGGGAAGACCTTGTATTTTTGGTGCTAAGAATCCTCATATAGATTAACATTTTTGTCCAGCAGGCTTCAATGATACTTATCATACGCAAGGTCTTTTACAATCACTGTTTCCCAACAGATTTTGAGGTAATTATATCCAAACTGACTATGTTGAGAGGACCCATGATCTGAACCTAAGGCCACTCATGGACAGTCAATCTGCTGTTCTTAGTTACTGAAAGGCCTTCATACAACCGCTGTTTAAAAGGGCTACAGCCCTAAACAAACAAATGGCACCTGCTGGAGGAAGGATACATGAACACCAAAGAGCAGCAAACACTCTTAAACGACTACCATCAAACCATGGTGTGATTCACAATTATATCATAGATAATAAGTGCCTTTCCCTTATCAGATATGTGCCCAGGCCTCTTAGATTGTAGATACTGAAGGTCATATTTTTTAGAATACTTAAAGAGACTTGTGCACATGGCAGAAAGGCCATATATGAACTATTTAGTGTATTGCTTGAAGGAAAATCTTTTACTGGTATTGCAGAAAGAATAACAAAAATAAGAGAATATTTGACCTTTAGCTCAAATATAAACTCTGCAGATCTGCTGACATTAGTATTCTGAGATGGCACAGCATCTACGGTCACTCCAGAATCATCTTCTGATGGTCCTTCACATGAAGCTTCATCAAAGAAGACTCCATCATCCTCTGAAGCAGAATAGCTGCTATTGGATCCAAGTAAAACGCATGAATCCAAATATTTTCCATTCTGAAACACAAAGAAAAAGAAAACCAACACGGACATTCCATCGCCGTCAAAACAATAAAGCTTCATAATCAAGATTCGTGTAATAAACAAAACATCCGTTTAGAGGACACACCTTGATCTTGACATTCTTAAATTGCAACTTCTTTCCACTTCCAACATAAATTACAGCCTCTTCACTCGGACAAGAGAGATTTTGTCCTCTCCTATCTTGCAAAAACAAAGTTCCCCCTCTGCCATCATATGTGAAAAGGTCATAACTTTCATCATCGACAACCAAAGGTCTCTGAGGAGAAAGTGAGAGTTCAGCAGAAGGCTGATTATAAACTGAGTCATTAAGAATAACAGCATCTACAGCATGAGCAGAACTTCCAGGGTCATCGTTTGCCAGCATACTTCGAACATTTGGTACAAAGAACTCAACAACAGCAAGCAGAAAATCAAGTGCAACTAGCAGTTGTGGCCTTTGAATGAAGAGAGAAAAAGATGTCAAATTTTCATAGAATCTTGCATCAAGAATAACCATTGCAGGTACGAGTTTCATGTCCTTGTCACTACTTGTATTGAAGGCCATGCCAGCATATTCACCAGCATCAGTCACCGACTGTGAAGGATTGTACCCAATTGTTTCAGGCTTCCGAATTGCCAACCTGAGTTCCTGCTCTATACCTTCACGATTATCCATCACAGTGAAATCTTCGAGTGTCGAAGACAGAAACCCTTCTCCTGCTGTATTGGATTTGTAGAGAAGCCACAGACCACTTACCTTAAAAGCAAAAATAAGATCCGGATTCAGAATTTGGCAGGCATAAATTTAATAGATTAAATGATAACAAAGATTAAACATATTTGGAAGATAGTGACGATGTGCAAAATTCATGATTAAAAAAGAGAGATAATAAAAATAGATATGATTCAAATTCCAAGAAGATCATGAACATCACAGTATGTATACAACTATCCAAAATATTGCACTTCATGCATATTTAGTTGAGATCAATTTATCAATAAGTGAGACAATACGTGTATGCATAACTGCCTAACCAGAACAAAGGTAATATACTTCATGCCGATATGTTCGTATTCTAGCATCTCCTGCTCAAATTTACTTCACTAATTAGACAAAAATGGCTGCCGGACAAGTGTCAAACATGCAATAAGACCTATTTCCTCACTCTGTCTTCAATGAAAATGCATGCAAAAATCAGCAACCTGTTTTGAAGATGTGCCCATTATATTGTCTTAGTGACATCTATTGACCCAAGAAACATCTAAAGACATTGCTCTTTCCTTTCACAGAAGCATGAGATTAACAAACCGGAATAGCAAGATGAAAGTACAATTTGAAAGGATAACAATAATAACAAAATAAACTTAAATAATGGAGTCTCAATTACCTGCATCGTGGCAAGCGATGCATCCCTTGTCAATCCATAGTGAAGAACAAGCTCAAACAGATCAATAGCAATAGAGACCTTGGCTACAATCCACTTATCTTTATATTCAGCCTCAGATTTAACAACATCAGAATTTCTCACTGACAAATTTTGTGTCTTGACAGCTGAAGATGATGAGGCGTCATCTATTAGAGGAGGCACAACATTAGGAGTCTCTGAAAGATTTTCTTGCGCACATTCTGCAATTATCTCATACTCCCTGCTTGATAGAGCAGCTTTTAATTCTTCAACCTGAAATATTCAAATACCATGAGATTGAGACAATTTGATCTCGAAAACAACAAAATTCTAGGTAGTGAACGATAGAAAGAACCAAACTACAGTCAGAATTATAGTATAAAAGTACCTTGATAGCAACTTCGATACTAGGGATTTGATGCAATAGGTCCCTCAGCGATCGCTGTATAACAATTGAAACTCCATTGACATCTTGGACTATACTTTCACCCAATTCTGAGCCAGCACCCACATTCAAATTGATGTCCTTGACCTACAGGAAGGTATATATGAAACAAATTCTCAGATGAATGTATGGAGAGTAACTTAAAGAAAGGGACAACTAAAAAGAATACTATTATGGTGTCTGTCTATGATACCATTGAGCCTACATTGTATAACGCAAGCCCACCAAATTAACAATCTGCAGTAATCTATAACTTCCCTGTTTAAAGGATACTCTCTTTGACAGACTTGCACAACCTTTTCAAATGCTATTACATACAAATTGAGCTTCAAACAGGTTCCCTGATTGGCAATATGCAAATTTTTGCTTCATGCAAAAAACATGCAACTTTGACCGCAAATATGAGATTTTTATTGAGTTATTCCCTTATCAGTGTAAGAATATTGTGATATTAGGCCATTAGCAACTAGCATCTAGATCAAAAACATAACTAACGGAGATAAAACATAAAGATCTTACAGAGATTGTTAATATTTCCATGTGTACAGCATTCATTTCACTTTTGCTACCAGAAAACCACTGAAACCTGTTTTGGACAGTGATGTGAACAACATCGAGCTTCAAATAACTGCAAGAGGAAACTATGAGATCAGCTATGATTATTGTTACACAGATGCGATTAAAGGGTATAAATGTCTAATCCATAATCCATATATCCCCCCAAAACAGATCACAGAAAACATGAAGATACAGGAAAAATCAAGGCAATACATTAGACTTTTAAAATAGAGCACTGCGAACAGGTGCATATTTTAACAGAAGAACTGACTGGAAAGCATCATCACCAGAGAATTATTAACTCACTCAAGGCTATCAGTCCTTCGAGGCATTAAAATTATGGGCTTTCTTAGAGAAAGATCCAGCTTTAAAGCAGGCGATCCTTCAACCTCACTTCTTGTAAACCACTTCTCCGAGTTTGTAACTTGATCGTTTATTCTGACAACATCATTAGAACTGTTTGGAACAAGACCCATGAAGTAACTGACAATCTACAAGAAAATCATAATATATCATGAGATCATATAACACAGGAATAGCCAAATAGAAAAACTAAAGCTTCACTACCTCTTGGATAAAGCGATTCAAATAAACAATCCGCACTTCAGACAGCTGGCCTATAATGCTGTAATCATAACCCATGTAGTCTTCATCATCAACATTGAATGAACAAAATTCTAGCTGCAATCCACAAATAATCTGACCGATTAGTTCAGAGAAACTATCTCCACTCTTCTAGTAATAATATTATTAATTAAATTATGGTATATTGCTCCAATATAGATGATGCCATAAGTAACAAAGGGGATGCTAGTTAAAGTTCCAACTGAGCTTACATGTGCAATCTTTTGCTTTTATAGGGAATTACTTCACTCCTGAAGGTGAAGTCATATTTCATAAAAATGCTACATAACTAACCTCTCCATGTAGAAAATAGATATAGCGTTCGAAATACATGATTTTAACATAGCTTTTGGGTTGAATACAAAAATTAATTTTTCTGAATTTAAAATAGCATTTACATACTCCAAACTACATAAAAATGTATTATATAAGCTCTAGTACTTCAATTTGTTTCCATAAAACTATTGTCTAATAAAGTTATTATTTGACTGATAAAAAAGGTAAATAGAACTCCATCACCACTAACAAAATAGTAAAAATCTAACACATGAATAATTCGTAAATGTAGATACGTGTTCATTTTTTTGAAAACAAAATAAGAAATTGTCCATTCTTGGACATATCAACATCATGTGTAGGCATTATGTGATATCATTGAAGGGTTATTGTATATAGTTGTAGATTTCGTAAAAAATATGTTAGAAAAATCAATATTGTATAAACTGACAGTTTGAAAAATAGAAAAGAAAGAGCATTGTCATAACGCAAATTAAGCATTAGTAATACCATTCGAAGCCAATGTTCAACTCTTTAATTCTAGGTATATTCATAACAGTTATACCATGGACTATTGACATGCATAGAGTTCTAAACAAAAAATCCTACCGAATAATCTTAGATTATAGAAGCCCGACTCTTCTTAAGACTAAGCTCTAAGTCCTTGTCTGCCTCAACATTCTTAGGACCAAGGATGCAAATCTTATCTCATTCACTCTGAACTTTGATTTGATTCCACACCTACTACACAGTAAAGTCTTCTTACATTGCAGTCTCCTAATCATACTTGCAGTTTCAACCCTAATCTTTGCTTTCATTTCTACAGAAAGTTTTTAAGGTATACATTTATTCAAATTCAAAAGAGACACTACAACAGTTATGGAAAAAAAACGAATTAATAAGTTCACATTCTTAATTTTAAGAGAAAGTCTTATCTGTATCTTGGGGTTTAATACGCGTCAAAGCAATTTTTTTTGTTCTAAAATCTACCAAGTAATTACAGTTCTAACTACATAAAATTGGAGGATGTTAAGTCCTAGTTTTGGATATTCTAACTCATCTCCATTGTTAATGCATAACACGAACAGCTAAGATATCACTTCCCTCTTTGAGACTCTCTCTCAGTTAGTACCTAATTTCTTGTCAGAACTTTTATGATCTTTAGTTACATGATTGTTGTAACACAGGAAGCTGACCAATCAAAAGGATGTGTTACCTTCTCTCTTACTGTATTTATTTAGTTGCTTTCTGTGCCAATTTATAGATTGTTGATGGGGCCAAATTATTAAATTACCTTGTACTACTCAAGTGCCATAGGTCAATTTATTTTGGTATAATTCTTTATTGGAGAACGAATTCTATTATGAACATTTGTAACTTAAGTGAAGGGTTGCGTCCCTTCAAATTAATAAGTGGTTTTATTTAATTTTTTTAAGTAGAATATTTAAATTATATAGAAGGGCATTTAGGTAATTTAACTTTTTAGTTTTAGGCTTCCCACTTTTATAGTAATAGGATTTTGCATGAAATAAGGCGACAACAGTAAGTATAATCTCTGCCAAAATAGATCAATCTAAGAATCAACAGTAAGTATAATCTCTGCCAAAATAGATCAATCTAAGAATCAGTAGATTCTACATAATCTGTACAAGTTTACATCCACTTCTTTACTGGTACTAATACTTAAGGGAGAGCAAGGAGGTTGATCTAACTCAAGTTGAATCCTATGTGTGTTTCGAAGGTGAAAAGCGCAAAAAGCGCCAAGGTATGTTGGGATTTAAAGCGCAAACTTTAGTAAAGAAAGACACATAATGAAGATAAAAATTAAGGTATACAGAATGCAAGAAAAAAATAACTACAAAAGCAAACAAAAATTACGAGTACAGGAATCTTAAAAATCTATAATTAAATTAAATATATGAAGAACTTATGTTAATCAAGTTAGGACCATCTTAGATTTCGAATTTCGAAGAAAAATATTTTTTAATTCAAATCTAAAGCCTAGTTTTTTTCTTGCACTACACTTTAAATCCGAATTACTTCATAGCCACCCATGATGGTCCCTTAACAATTAATGGACCAATTTTCCAATCCAATCACTTGTCTATTTATTTATTTACTTATTTTGTGAGAGAGAATTTGCTGACTATATTTTTTATGTAGTGCCTTTCGCGGGTGCCTCCTAAATAAATTTCTTTTATAGTAGTAGTTCATTGGCTAGTTTTTGTTGAAGCGCATGCCTCGGATCTTAGCGCCTTCAGTGAAGCACCCAACTTGTGTTGCGCCTGACTTCCATTAATCGTAACTTGGCCACACCTTTGACAACACCTTTCTGTTCCAATTTATATGGTATTGTCTCCTTATTAGTATATTTTAAAAAAGGCACCCTATATTTGAAAATAATTTAATTTTAAATTTTCCATTTCTCTTAATGACGTGCTTCTATAGTCACAGAAGCATGTTTAAGACCTCAAATTCCAAAAGTCAAGTCTTTCGTTCTTAAACTCCATGCCCCGTCAAACAGTGCCACATAAATTTGAAATGGAGGAAGAAGATGCCCAAAGAATGAAGGTGGAGTGCGATGATTCCGTTGTACAAGATCAAAGGTAACGTCCAAAATCGCAACAACTATAGGGGTATCAAGTTGCTTAGTCATACTATGCAAGTTTGGGAGAGAATGGCGGAGGTAAGAGTTAGGAGGACAATGTCTATCTCTGAGAACCAGTTCAGATTCATGCTGCGGGACGTTCGACTACGAAAGCTATTCACCTTGTTAGGAGGTTGATGGAACACTACAGGGAGAGGAGGAAGAATTTGCATATGGTGTTTATCAACCTAGAGAAAGCGTACAAAAGAGTCTAAGGGTGTTCCTGTGGCGTACATTAGAGCGATTAAGGACATGTACGATGGAGCTAAGACTCAGGTGAGGACGGTGAGAGGGGACTCAAATCATTTTCCGGTTATGATGGGGTTACACCAGGGATCCGCGCTTAGCCTGTTTTTATTTGTCTTGGCGATGGATGCACTGATGTGTCACATTCAAGAGGAGGTGCCACGGTGTATACTATTCGCAGATGACATAGTACTAATCGACGAGACGTGGAACGATGTTAACGACAAGCTGGAGGTGTGGAGACAGACCCTAGAGTCTAAAGGGTTCAAGTTGATCAGGACTAAGACAGGATACTTGGCGTGCAAGTTCATGACGGAGGAAGTGGACATGGATGTGATGCTCGATTCATAAGTCATTCCCACGAGAGAAAGTTACAAGTATCTCGGTCAGTTACTCAAGGGAATAGGAAAATTGATGAGGATGTCATACATCGTATCGGAGCGGGGTGAATGAAATGGAGGTTAACATCTGTATTCTGTGTGATAAGAATGTGCCACAAAAACATAAAGACAAGTTCTACAGAGTGGTGGTTGGAGCGACTATGTTGTAGGGGGCAAAATGTTGGGCAGTGAAGAGTTCACATACTTAGAAGATGAAAGTAGCAGAGATGAGGAAGTTGAGAGATGACGAAGCTGAGATGGATGGGCAGGCATACCAGGTTGGATAGGATTAGGAATGAAGATATCCGGGTAAAGGTGGGTGTGGCCCCAGTGGAAGACAAGATGTAGGAAGCGAGGCTTAGATGGTTCGGGCATGTGAATAGGAGTAGCTCAGATGCCCCAGTAAGAAGATGTGAGCGGTTGGCATTGGTGGGTATAAGGAGAGGTAGAGTGAAGCCAAAGAAATATTGGGGAGAGGTGATCAAGCAGGACATGGCGCGGTTTCAGCTTACCGAGGACATGGCCCTTGATGTGAGGATGTGGAGGTCGAGAATTAGGATAGAAGGTTAGTAGGTGGTCGAACGCTTCTAGATCCGTACAGGGGGAATTAGGGTTAGTTTGGTAGTGTTTTCTTACTCTTAGATTGCTAACTTTACATGTTTTCCTATTACCATGTGCATTGGTTTCTTAATTTCTTGTTGTGGTTGATGCTTGTTGCTACTGCTTCATTCCATCTATTTTCTGGCTCTTAGTTTGTTGTGATTATCTTTCTGGCACTTGGTGTTGGTAACGCTTGTTTCTACTATTTCTTTCTTCCTTCCTAAGCTGAGGGTCTCTCGAAAACAGCCCTCTACCTTTCCAAGATAGGGGTAAGGTCTGCGTACACATTACCCTCCCTAGACCCCACTTGTGGGTCATCACTGGTTGTTGTTGTTGCTGTTGCTATATTTTTATAATGGTGTTGAATGGGCCAGCTTGCATACACCTCGACTATTCCATAGGGTACATCCGTACATGCTACCGCCCACCAGAACAAGTATCAGGTAACTCTGCCATGGGAAGAAATAACCTAGTGTTTCACTGTTTCTGCTAAAATTTGAACACTAATCTCCAAGGATCGCACCTGTTTCATTGACTATTGCCCCCCCCCCCCCCCCTCCCGTTGGGTGCAAAGATTTTTAAAAAATTTATTCGAATGAAAATTACTAAAGTTTCAAAGCAGAAAAATACACAGCCATTTTGATCAGACCTACAGGAGTAACTAGCAAATAAGATGTTACTTGACTAATACTATAACCATAGCCAAAAAGACAACAATCACGACAACAACATTCAATGATATTAACAGCAGCAATAGCTAGAACAACGACCACACTAGCTATACAATGAATTACCTCTACGAAAGAACTACCACCAGGATTCCTCATATCACATGCCCAGAAATAAAGGTGGCTGCTAGGGAGGCTGTCGTCACTAATTCTCAGATTTCCAAGAGATGCCTTTATAGTAAAAGAAGATGGAAACACCTATCCGAGGAGAAAACAAGATTGATAAGTTGCACTCACATAATAAATATCACAACGGAAAAAATCAAAGTTGATGGAAACAACAGACCTTGATATCAGTAAGAAAATTATCCTGGGACAAGGTAGCGAGCTTAGATCCATCCTCTTTCATCAGCAAGATCTGGGCACGAGCCATGTTCAGTGTCAGACCGAAAATAATTCTAGACTTCCCCTTTCCAAGCAAACCTTTCACTGCAGGCACATCAGCTGTCTCAAACAACTGCGAATCAACCACATTTTCCTTGGAACTATCATGTTGTGTAATGGCTGATGAAGAAGTGTCACTGAAAGATTCACAGCTTTCCTCCCCCACATTAATGGCATTTACAAATTCCATTACTGCCAGTATTGTTGGCCTACGACAGAAAAAAGACAAGGTAGCAAGTGTGACGGCTACCTGTAATAACCAATAAGCAATTAAGTTAGAAATCCTAAGTGCAGAACTAAGTAAACAGATTTATCCAGATAAGAAACACCAGCTGACCTTTGTATCAATGCTACTATAGCGAGGTGACTTCTGGTCATAAATAACCACTTGAGCCTTCACGAAACTATCTAATGTATCAGTCAGTTTTAAAGAATTAGTTCCATTATCATGAACATCGATAGGCAGAAGACCAGCAAAACGATTAAAACTAGGAGCCTTTGACATGGTCTTTTCTGATGACAAAATATTTCCAGATGAATACGGACTATCAGCTAGGTCATTTAAATTTTCAGATGCCTCATAAAAATTCTCTTCTCCATCATATTGACCAAATTCATTGCTCTGGCTTTCGACATCGTTTAAAAGGGGGGGTGCACCAACATTTCTGATGAAGGATCGTGCTAGATAACAAGAGCCAGATATCCCTGTCTGGCACACCAAATCTTCTACCTCCAGAGCTTTCAGGAGAGTCCCTATAAAAATATCATTGCCTCTAATTGAAAGCTCAACCTGTGTAAGACATAAATTTAAAGCATTAAAGCAAAAGATTAGATCAAAGCTAAAATAAGACCGATAGCAAACCTGCAGTAATCTTACCCGACCACCCGTTGCTCGAAATTCAAATAGGCCTCTCTCCTCAGCTAGAAGTGCCTTAGTAAAACTTTGATCATGCTAGACAAAGTGGAAAGCATATTATACATGTCAGTGGAGTCACTGCTTTTCAAGAAAAAGTGTCCTTGATAGTTTTCACCAATACTCACCTCATCACTATAATTGAAGCACATCTTTAACTCATCAAGAATACCAGTCAAATACAGACTCTCCATTTTTGACAGATCCATTAAATCTTGATTGTCTGCATGATCAGCTTCATAGTCTTCAGACTCGGATGATGATTCAGATAAACCAGTAATTGGAGCTGATCCCTGCATGAAACCTCACTTTTGAGAACTTTCTCATAGAAAAGCAACAACATGCAAGGACTTGATGAATATATACTCCTGTTTTCCCCGTACAACATCCCCACCCCACCCCACCCCACCTCAACAAGGGGATAAAAGTACTATCCTGAAAGCAACCAATAAAGACAGTCCTTAAGATCTCCTCAAATCCGAAGACTTAAACTGCCAAATCTAAGTGAAGTTATGATGAAATTAAACTAAGACATCTTGGCCTAGCTCTTAATCCACACCAAAAACCTATTTTTCCAATGCTTCTAAATGATCCCCATTTACTTATAGTAAGGATCTCGATCCATTAACATTGTCCAGAGAAAAGGAATTAGAGAGAGAGAGAGAGATACTCCTGCAAGTTTTTAGGAAAAAATCTTTTTGTCTTGAAGGCAACAGGTTTATCATACTATAGTCTCCAAGATCAAATTCTGCTGACCACTCACCACTCACCACATTCTTTTTTTTAATAACCGCGGGGATACCTGCTACCTGGCACCAGCAACAAGTACCAGATAACTCTATCTACCAAGGCTTGGACAGATGAGAAGAAATCACCTAGTGTATTTGACTCCGCTGGGATTTGAACCTGAGACCTAAGGTTCTCAACCCACTTCATTGATCACTAGGCCACACCCTCGGGTGCTTCACTCACCACATTTTCACCTTAATTTGAACTATTAACAGCAGTTTCTATTCATCAATTCATATTTTGTCATAGGCACCTACAAAGGGATGTTATCTGACAAAGACCATCCAACCACAATCTTATGACTCTAGCTATTGGCATGTCAATAAGCAATCGATTCCAAATCAGCATAAAGAGAAATAGCACAAAGGTCTACCGATGCACGATAGATGGCCCCCAGCAAGTGGCTCTGCCATGTCTTCTTTAATTCTTCAGAGTCACAACGTAATATTAGAGCATTTGCATCTTCCACAACCTACAAGCAATGATAAGGTAAGGAATGTCAGAAAACAGAATCTGCACAACCAAAAGCCAAAGATTTTGAAAAGTACATTGGTGGCTCTTTCAGCACTATAGACAGCCAACACATGTTGTTCGTCGCCAACATCATTTGGAGGAACTTGATATAGTTGCTTTCCTCGTAAACTGCAATAAGGCAGTACAACAATAAAGTTAAGGATACAAAACACAGATAAAAGAAGGATAGCCAGGTGAGCAATAGGAATTACAGTCAGAAAACCTAGATCGGCTTCACACAGAGGACCACCAGAAATCTAGACATTATCTCTCTTTTTTTCCTTTTTTTCAAATAAAGTACCATTGGAGTTGAAAACATGCTGTACGTTCAAATTAGTTGCTGAGATAAGATTCTTGATTCTATAAACCAAACCACATTGTAATAGTATATCATTTATCCAACTTCACTCATCTTCAAGGCATAATATAAATTCACATGCATTTAGCTAATTTCATGTTCTAGCACTATATCTATCTGCCTTTCCAAAGGCATGAAGGCATGAAGTAGGATAGATTTTTGTACATTTTTAATTTTTTGGGATCTGTATTTAGCTACCGGTCCAACACAACCTCTGCTGAAGGTTAATATAACAGCTACCTTTCTCAACAAAAAAAAATATGAAGCCATGAAGTAGGATGATCCAATAATACATTTGGGTTATTCCCTCCCGCCATATCGACGTAAAAAGAGGAACTCCATTCACAAGCATGGTTAATAGGACATACAACTTCCCAACTCTCTGTGAACCTTGCTTCAATTTTGATTTTTGCTCCATGCTATGACAGCGTACCAAACCACTAGACTACAATTCGCGGGGGAAAACAGCAACTTCAATATGTTTTTATCCTTTTTGGGGGTTAATAAACAGTATTTTGATCAAATTATGAGGCTGAATGCAAAAAACATAAACTTCTGATGTTATGAAAAGGGTAAAACCAAATTCCGAGAGAATGTGGATACCTCGGTACAAGGAGTCCCAAATTAACAACAATGCTATTGGGGAGATCTCAATAGACATATGCGTAGATCTACAAACAAATTTCAATCGAGCATATGGGGGATATGGTTATGGTACTAGAAATGAAGAAGTGAAAACTATTTTAGAGTTTGCTTTGTGATTTATTTTTAACCAACAAACTTTTAAAAGAGGGAATCACATCTGGTAACATTTAAGAGTAGCTGTAACTATAGTCAAATAGACTTCATCTAGTAAGTGACAAAGCCACGTATAAGGATTGCAACGTTATAAAATGAAATTCCCTCACCCCTATCACAAACTGATAACCCTTGATGTTCAGTAAAAGAGTGCAACAGAAAAGGGCAATAATTGATTTGACCCAAGCAAACTTTGGGCAGGTCGAGTCATCATCAATCTGTTGATTTGACCCATTTTACCTGCCCAAATTTGACCAACCCACCCAGTTGTTACCTGTACTTATTATTCCAAAAATATTTTTATATTGAGCTCTTAAATAATTTTCCAAGTAAACCATGGTTTTTCCGTCCATTCCATAAATTTTATATCCTTCATAGATGACTCATATCACAGAAGGGCTATTAAAATATGATAATGTAAAGTGTGATCCTCCATAATAAAACAATGGTAAAGAATTGTTTGTTTCTTTTTATTTTGACAAGTTGACGACCTGATGTTATTTTTAATAAGGTAAACAATCCATTAATGAAGGGAAAACCCCGTATATTAGTAGTATACCAAACAGCAGAGAACCCACTAAAAATATGGCTAAATGTACAAAAATACCCAATCATCTATACAAGTTGGGAGCTCATGAGTACACCAAAAGAGAACTAAAGATAAAAGGCTATGCTATCGACTTACAAAGTCATTTGCTAACCCTTCAAACAGTCCGTTATTTCTATCTATCCATACAACTCATATAAGAGCTAACAAGGCAACATCTCAGGCCCTAGGTCTTCTCTCCTCCTTCTACATGCCCAGATATGTAAGAGCAGCTATGTAAGCGCTTCTTTGACAATGCTATGCATCACCCACTGCACTTTTTACCAATGTAGGACCACCCACTACAACTGCGCCGTTTAAATGCAACATGAGATGATCTACATTTTCACTCGAAGGTTTGAACACAAAACACCAAATGTCATGAAGAAACGAACCTTATTCGACACCCCGATAAACGAATCATTCGGTGCAGGATCTCCCAACAATCTATAGTAGTAAGACTTGATTATATATAGGCCATCCCTCCTAAAACCTCACCCATCTCCATAAGTGGTGTATCATTCAATGTAAGGTGCTTGTGAAGCAGCTCCAATAGATGTTAAACTCGCTCATTTCCCAATTCCTAAACCTCAAATCCTGATAAACTTCCCCATTATGTATCTTTCGGCTCTGTTGTACCGTCAACTTTGGCACGACACTCTAAAGAAATTAGGGAAGCAATACTTAACGTCGGTCACCACACCACCTGTGTCTACAAAAACTTATACTACTACCATTCCCTGCCCTAAGTGATAAATAGGCTAAAGTCTTCCCACCCTTTCCTAATGTTCCTCCACAATCCACAATCATATGGTAATGTAACGTTTCTAGTCATATACCCCCTTTCCAATTCTGCTACAACTCTCTACATCAAGCATACTCGTCCACCCAGATTTCCAGAGCTTCTTTCTTTTCTTTTTTGTTTAAGTGGTTAAAAAATACTCTCCAAAGCTTCTTCCTAGTAAGCTTTATTGAAGATCCTAAGATCTTCTACTCCATGATCTTATTCCTTTGAAGATATCACCAATTCGCAATTCATTAAGCAATATTTCCTAATTCCACTTGCGTTCTCCTATCAAAATTCCGCCATGGCCTCTCCAATTTTTGTTCCAGCAAGATCAATGCTGCATCAATGGCATGTAATATGTGGAAGGCACGGTTGATTAATACTTTATTTCCTTCTTGGAACAAATACATATTTCGCCACCTAGCTAGCCGCTTTTCCACCCTCTCAATCACCATATTCCACTCTATTGAGTCCTTACTGAAAGCACCCAGAGAAAAATGGACCAAGGTAAGTAGTAGGTAGTGCTCCTACCTTATTCAACACGTATGCTAGGTCTTCAGTCTGTGCTACCCCGTCCACCGGTTTGATCTCACATTCCCCAAGGTTGAACTTTAGCCTAGATGGACACCACCTGGAACCACATAAGGGTTTGTCTTAAATATTTAGCTGGGCCACACTTGCATCGCTGAATACAAAGGTGTCACAAACATGAACTGGATAACCCTAATGAAACTTTGTTCCTGAACGAGGTAAAAATGTCCCTTAAAAATCCTCCATCGGTTTATTTTTCACCCCCAAAAAGAATAGCATCACAGATAGCGAATCCCCGATCATTAGAAAGTCTTCCATTCACTAAGACTTAGAATCTAACAATAGAAATGCAAAATTTTATCCACCTCCTCTTGTCCCATATATGTCATCAACTCATCATTATGATGTAGTCCAAGAGTTGCTAATGCATATCAACATAGATCTTTTCAAGGTCCAACTTGCATCCAAAAATTCCTAATCCCTAGCTCTCCCTTCTTCCTTCTAGGATCAATCACTTCATTCGCCACCAAAGTTGCATGCAAACTCTGTCCTACTTGATCAAAACGCATTCTAGAAAATGGGTATTGCCTTATTTAGTGCTTTTTTAGTATGTTAGAATGCGCCTAAGGAATTATTTCATATATGATATATGATACCCAGCGAACTACTTATAACCCTCATCTTTCAGCATAATAAGTATGATGTGTTGAGGCTTCTTTGAACTCGCCCGTTTCTAAAAATGTCATAATGGTCCGCATCAAGTCCCCTTAAATCTGCTTTAAAACAGCTGGACAAAGGAAAATGTGAACCCATTTGGTCCCAGGATCTTATCACGGGCACAACTCACCTCTTGTTCTCCTATAATCCTTTCTAACCACTCCCTCCTCTCGTCTCTTGTTTGGTTGAACATTATCCCCCGAAACTTTGGTCTCCATCTAACCTCATTTTTATACAATTAATATTCGTACTCCAAAATATTCTGGACAAGGTGAGAGCAGCCCCCAGGTGGATAAGATGTGGGAAGCGAAGCTGAGATGGTTCGGGTATGTGAAGAGGAAGATAAGCAGATGTCCCGGTCGGAGGTGTGAATGGTTGGTAATGGTAGGGCCAAAGAGGGGTAAGATTAGGCCGAAAAAGTATTGTGGCGAGCTGATCAAGCTCTATGACACATCTTCAGCTTGCCGAGGACATTGACCCTTGACAGGAGGGTGTGGAGGTCGAGGATTAGGGTAGTGGGTGAGTGAGTAGTTGAGCGTGCTTCTTTCTTGTATCTGTATTGCCTTTCTATACCTGTAGTACTAGTGTATTCTCGTATTTTCTATTCTTATTTATAATACTACATGTAGTTTCTTTTGATTCGGTTATCTATTACGTGTTTTCTTTTATTTACATACTTCTCTTGAGCCGAGAGCCTATCAGAAACAACTTTTCTACCTTCACAAGGTAGGGGTAAGGTACGTGTACACACTACCTTCCCCAGATCCCACTTATGGGACTACACTGGGTATGTTGTTGTTGTTACTCCAAAATCGATAGCATACCAAAAGGATAGTGTACCCGGTGACATCACCTGTTCCACCACTCTTTGAGTCTATCTCCAAAATCAAGCACCTTGAGTCACATGTTCTCAAACAGGGGCAGATCTAGTGTTAGGATACCGGGTACATCTGAACCCACTACTTTCGACGAGAAGTGTAAAAATTCACTAAAATTGCAATAAATAGTAGATATGAAATCATAACTTTAAAGATATAATGGGTTCCATGCTAAGAAACTTAAAATTTAAACCCCTAGAATTTAAATCCTAGATCCACCTCAGTCCTCAAACCTGGAAAGAGTACGCAACTCTTTCTTCTACTACTCCCTCCGTTTTAAAAAGATTAGCACTATTTCCTTATTAGTCCATTTCAAAACGTTGGCACCTTTCAATATTTCCTTAATAGGAAGCAATTATAGCCATACAAATGTTATGGCAGATTTCATACCACAAGATTCAAAAGTTTTTCAGCCACACAAATGTTATGGCTTATTTAAGACCACATGTCTCACAAGTTTTCTCTTCTTTATTAAAGTTTGTGTCAAGTCAAACTATGACAATCGCTATCTAGCAAGATAGGCATATAGTCAGAAACAAATCTAAACAATGGAACTAGCAACGCATCCAGCATCATCTCCTCCCATGCAGTTGATACCAAAAGCTGTCCAGCCCTTATTTTGAAATAGACTCATGGTCCGATCCATGTAACACTTGCTCCTATTAAGGGTAATAAATCAATAAGAGTTATTGTTGATAAAACTCCGAAAATTCCTCCATTTCCCTAGACACCGTTATACTCTCCACTCCTTCCTCCCAGAACCTTATTGTCTTAAAGTCTTCCTAATACCCATGGAATCTTCCTCTCAGCCATACAGTTGGTCATCTCCAAAAACTAAAGAAAATTAACGATGTCAACCAGCCTAATGTAGTTGCTTTTGCGGTGTTTTGTCGGGCCTCGATTGTTTAGGTGATGCCACAAGACATGGAGCATAGTTTTTACCTGGTATACTGCTTGTAGGATCTAGAGCCAGGATTTTCCAGTATATAAAGAAAGGTTCCAACTATACATAGGTATCTCCGCTGCCATACAGCCTCCCTACCACCAACACCCTACAGTGAAAAATAATAATTATCAGAAATGTACAACTACTAAAGCACATATCAATATGCAAAAAAGACTTGGATAGGTTAATCTAAAAGTAACCTTCCAGGTAAGAAGACACAACCACCCTTCAAAATCAGATTGAGTCCAAGGACGATAAACATCCGAATCATTTCTTTCCTCTCCTTCAAATATCTTTGCAACTTGCATCAACCGATGATACCGAGCAGGAGAAAAATGGAACCCTAAAGAAGGAAGACGCACTGCGAGTCTCGTCGAAGGAAAGGCAGGATTCTCTAGCCGAATCTGGAAAAATTGGAATATTAGAGGTGTTGCACCCAAAGTTGAAACTGTGAAAACATACTAAGGTAAATTATGTGAATGTAAGATCGTGTTCAGAAGAAATGTGCAATCACCTGTTGAAGCTTTAGAACCACCGCACACTTGTCAATAACAGGCAACCAAGCAACAAAGTTAGACCTAGATGGACCAACTCCATTTGTAGGGGTTTGACTCCAACAGTAATCACCATCAACCAGGAAAGCAGAAACATCACTGAGGACCATATCAAACTGAACGTACATATTCATCTCCTCAGGTGTGACAAATTCAGAATCATCCTGCCCATATTACAGAAACACGGGACTTTAGCCAACTGAGGGATATCTGGTCCTATAGATTCAGATGATCCTTAGATTTACCTTTGTAGAAATCACCAAATTTCCCAAGTCAAGAAGCAGCTTAGTTGAGAGAGTGTTATCTGGAGAGAAATCTGTAGGAATGGTAATTTTTGGAGCCGCAATATTCAAATCCAGAAAGAACCTGGTAAAAAGCGGATATCAATTTTAAAATTATCTGGATGGTATAAAAGAATGCAACATGTTGATATCCACCACTAGATTTGTTTGGGTTCGAAGGTTGATAATGCTGCAACATTAAACAGCGAAGGATAGATACACCTGACAAACTTAGAGGGAGACATGCCTAGACCACTGAACCGTCAGTCTTGATCCCTGTCCACCACTCCATCCCTCCCCAAAACCACCTAGTCTTTACATCAGGATCACATTTGCAGAAATTTTTACTGGACAATAACATGTAGCAATTTTTCTTTTAAACTGCTCAAATTACTGTGAGGGACCAGTAATCTCAACAACATCAGGATACCAGCTTGACATACAAAAAAAAGTATCTGACCTGGACTGATCCTTCAGAGCTCTGTTTACTTGTTGCTGTGCAGTTCGTTTGACTTCATCAATTGTCATCTAACAACAGGATAAATACACATCATATACCAACACGTTTCAAACGAAAACTGCAAATACAAACATAAACCAAGAATCTCTTGCATAAATTCATTAATTCAACATTTTTGAGACATTAATATCCATATTACTAGGTTGAGTGGCAAAGAGCAATTAAACAAGTAGTAACAGCAAGAGTTGATATTAAAAGGTGAAATAAGCGTCTTAAAGGCAATAGTTGCCCTATCCCAAAATGTTCCCCTTCCTTTCTGGGTGGTTTCAAATTGTTGTTCAATTCCCCCATGAAAGTTTCAATTCTTTTCAATACCACAAAGTTTCTAAGCCTCTCTTTTACCTTTCTCAACACAATATTATCTTCAACTTTTTAACTTATTTAATTAAAGCCACTTGTTTAATTAACTTATTTAGTTGGTTCAATCAGGCCCCTGTAACTAGTGTTGAACTATTTCTGGATTTTGTCTGCTCCTTAGTTGTCCTGTAAGTTTTTGTATATGAGCAGACAATACCTTTATGTTGTAATTTTTGCTATGCATCTTCTTGATGCCATTTAATGAAATTCCCTTACTTCATCAAAAAATATTATCCTCAACTATTTTCTGATAATGGTAGTGTCCAGACTAGCTCGTGGGCACCTGACTATTCAACCGGGTACCTCCTATCCTCCACCAACACATGTAATCGGTAACTCTGCCTAGCAATGGCAAATTTGAAGGAATTACCTAGGTTGTTGCCTTTGGTGGGATTTGAACCCTGGTCTCGCATAGTTTGTATCTCACTTCAATTGTTAGGCCACACCCTTGGGTGCTAATATTATACTATATTCTACCAACAAAACTATAACATGTTATCAACAGATTAAAGATATCCTTGTAAGTTTTTGTAGTAGGGGGGTTTCTTTACTGTTTTTGGGATATGTATTTAGTCACTTCTACCAGCACAAACTTTGTGCTGTTTTCTTTTATAAAATAAAATGTTACTATTGTCAAAAGAAAAAAAACAATTAAAGATATTATTAATTTGGCAGTTCCGATCTCTCTCTTAATAATCATAGCTAATCTAAAGGTATATGATTATTTTTATGATCAAGTAATTAAAATTTCATTAATTATTGGGCCAAAACAAAAGCGCCTATATGCTAGAAATATACCAAAAAGGCAGAAAACCACAAAAATATATTGTTCTCTACAAAAGAGACCCAATCTTATGTACAACAAGGAACTCCATGGGCTTGAGGAACTTACCAAGCAATTTATTCTCGAAATTTCTTCTTTTTCTCATAATTTAATTTTTTTTAAATGAAAAACTTACCAGAAACCGATATCCAACAGCGCCTTCATTAGCAAGAATCATATTTTAAAGACTTGCTATATGATTCCCCCCCCCCAAAGTTCACCCAAAATTAGACCAAGTATGAAATTTTCTCCCCAACGTCAACTGAACTCAACAGCTAATATAGAAGGAAGCATGCGACTGACAGTCCACCCTTAGACCACTTGTTGGCACAATTATGCATGGCCAAGCCAGCTACCAGTCGTGCAAGGATGCTTTCAATGCGCATTGTAATGTACATCCTCCATGTCCGGCGTGTGAGCTAATGGCCTGCCACACTCATTATATTTACGAACTGCTTTATGTATAGATGCCACCTTTACACACACCGACAAAGCTTTAACTCTGCTAACAAGCAGAATATGTTTACCAAATTCTTGCATTATCAGAAGCACGAGAGTAGCAAGTTCCATGGCAATGAGTTACGTGCAATCACTTGATCCATTTGGTTACAACAACCATGTCTTTTCAGTTTCAGGGAAAAATAGAACAAGAAAATGTCAAGGTCAACTTTTCGAGCTTCTCATTGGGATCAGTTCCAAAATGCCGTTACGCCCTAGCACACCTTCATTGATAATGTTTGATGAAAGAAGAAGGCTAACAATCAAGGACAAACTTCTTATTGGTTCATCCCCATTCATTGCCAGGAACAACAAGATCAAGCAATGAAGTGGAGTGCACAAGGAAATTTAGTCAGTTTTTTTTTAATGCTCAATCAACTCAAGAAAATGTTTTATGACCATGAAATAAGCTGTGATCTAAACACCAATTCAATGAACAGGGAACAAAACAGATGGAAAAGGAAAAGTAATGTCAAAGTTGAGCTTTGAACTACGTTGTGAAGAAAATAAGGAGCTAAAGCTGACCTGTACTGCAGCAGCTGTTTCCAGAGCTATGGTCTGACTTACAGCAGCATTACTTTCAAAAAAGTTGATAATTTGGTCAATGGAATCCTTCAAATACTAAGGAAAAAATTTTGATCAGTTAAAATGCTAAACTGTTGCAACTGGTGAACTAAAATAAAACTTCAGCTTACAGTCACATAGCAGGGAGAAGCTTTAGCCGCTAAACTCCAGTCAAGGTTGGAATCGAAAGGCTTGTAGCAGAATGCAGCAACCAAGGAATCACTGACAGTAGCGCTCTAAACAGAAAATATTACCATAAATGAGGCTGTCTAACTTAATCACACACACACACACACACACACTCCGAAAAAAATGAAAAAGAAAAGAGAATAGAAAATATTCTCCATAATATCGAAAGCTTTCAGCTGTCGACTTTTCACCCTATAGCAAAGGAATATTTGAATAGAAAAGAAAAAGTATATCCAAAATTTCAAAAACTATCTAACTTAAAATGTAAAGATTCTCACCTCAGCGAGAAGGCCATTTGGAGACCATAATTGATATGATCCTAGTTTTACGTCAAAAACCTTTGCTTCTGAATAAAGCTTTATATAACAATCAAGGTTATCACATGACAAATCAGCAAGGCAGTTGTGAGTATCACTAAGCTTTGAGGCATTGTGCTTCATGTGAACCTCCAAGGTGGTATGTGGCACATCCCTCCTGTCATGAGTTGCCAACAGCGGTTCCTCTTCACCTTCTTTATACCCAATTATATTATTTAATCTCTCCCAGTCTTCCTCAGTAAACCCTGCTTGCTCACTTCCATCTTCAACTGATTGGCTGGTCCTGAGAAAGTTGGTCAACCACATAAGACTCCATAGAAGAAAAAACAAAGAAAATAAAAGCATTTCACAGTACAGAAATCAAGGAAGTATAAAGGTCCAGTATTAACCAGCCAAAAGACCACCAAGATTTCTTTGACTTTTGCTTTTTTAGGTAGGAATCTGACTCTACTGACTGCTGCACAAACTTGTGCGCCATCATCCTGTTGAAAAGTTAAAAATAAAGGTCATTCTCTAATACAAAAATCTGTGTAAATTCTAAAACATGGACAAGAGAGCTTCAGTAAATAAACATCAAAATATTGTTGTCATGGTTCTTCATGGCATGTACGATTATTTGTCCAATTAAACACAAGCAAAAAATTCTGGAACACTCTTACACCCAGGAGCTGCTTTACAAAATACTTGAAATATCATGAAGGAATAAAATAAGTCAACCAATAGGTTTCCGTTCAATCAAAAGAACAAATCTAGCTTAGATACATGAAAGAAAAATGATAGGTATTCTTGAGGAAAATGGACCATGGACTTAAATCAACCACAGAGCTAGCTCAAGCAGTGAGGTTTGGAGCCTACATGCGGGATCCTAATTCCCCCGTCCCCAATGCCCTGGTTAAACATCTGGAAAGTGAAGTAATATAAAATAGGTGGCCCAACATTTGATAGCCCAACATCAGGAATGGGTGCAACTTTAATACCATCTGGAAAATCTGAGTATCCAACCCAACCTCTATAACTACGAGTGGAGTGGCCTAAAACCGTTATAAACTCCTAAGTCAACACCCTCCCTGAAGTGTAACTGAAGTTTTTTGGAGTTCACATATGAACATTAATCGGGCACGAGAATGGACTTACAAAAGGTGGCTCTGGTATCATACTAAGAAAACGAACATTGAGCTTAAGTCAGCCACAAGAGACTCAAGTGGTGACTTTGTACAAAATTATACATGGAGACTACAACCTTAACTGATGTGGTACTGGTATGATTCAAAAAGGAGCAAACTAAGGCATTAAGACGGACATTTGAGAACTTCTGATGAATTGATAACTTGATCTACAACATCCAAGGAACCTTGGTATTCTGTGTCCTTTTCCTTTCTTTTTTTGGGGGGCACCTTGAGGGCTTAATCAGTCACATACACACACACACACACACACAGAGGGAGAGAGAGAGAGAGAAAAAAAAACACACACACAGAGGGAGAGAGAGAGAGAAACGGGAAGGGGGAAGGGGGAAGATTGCTCAGGGTCACGTGACAAATTGACTAAAAATATACAGCTCACCAAAAGTGTATCCAGTAACGCTGTCGAGACTAATAGAAAGCTAGTTAATCCCACAATGTTGCAACACCAACATATTGCCTTTGAATTTGATGTAGTCCATTAGCCAACAATTCATGAAATAATATAGAAAAACATGCAGCACAAATTACCTCCATTGAAGAATGATTTCAGCATCAAGCGTGTGATCCAGTTCTTCTAAATCTTTATTATCATCTATTACTATCCGATCAGGATCAGATTTCAGCAATGAAGCATACAAAGAGATATATCTCTTCCGCAACCTCGTATATCGCAGGACCTGCTCCCATGACAACTTTCCACTACAAACAATAGTGGTATTATTAATTGAAGACTAAGAACCAAATCTTCCCCACGTGTATACACATATATATCTACACAACTTAACAGGATAAGAGAGAATGATATTACATCTTCTAAAGCTGTAACATTTTTTCCTCAAAAGCCCTATCATTTTCGATCAATTGAAATAAAATAGAGCAAATATGGTGAATGTGTAAACGAAAGCATTAGCATCTTTTTCAGGTCCAAGAGAGATTATGAGGACAAATAGAAACATGTTAGCTCCTCTTTTATCGCGTTTGTTTAGGCATATTTAATTGGTCTTTAGCCTACGCATCAGAGTGTTGTGAGGATATCAAAATGTAAGAGGAAGTTTGGCGAGTCTCTTAATTCCTTAAGAAACTAGTTACATACCTGGCCTTCTTTATCTGATCAGATAAAGCTTGAGAAGCATACTTCCACCAAGATTTTGGATCAGATCTCACTGGGACATGGGGACGAAGATGAGCATATTTCAACCGTTGATTGAAGGCAGCAAAGTTCTCGGCCAACTTTAATAAATCCCTATAGCCATTCTGCAAAAGTTACATGCGAAAGTAAGTGAAAAAGCCAAAACAAGCTAGAATCAGTTCCACATGGACGAGAAATAAAAAATAGAAAAGAAAAGTTAGCAAGACCAGCCTTTGACAAACAAAGAGTCACATCATCCAGAGCCACAACTGCCTTTTGTAGAGGTTCCGTATTATCAAGTGAAGGATTAGGGCGCTGTTTCGAGAACTTAGCTTTCCCAGTCACTGGTTGCAAAATGTAAGAATGCTCTTTAATGTGACCGTCAGCTGGTTTGCCATTATCCGTTCCATATCTGAAAATCTGAGGATTGAACTAGGTTTACGAATAGGGACAGATCAGAAAGAGGAGCCATCAAATGACAACCAGAACACTCGAGAAGTACCTTGACCCACTCCGGTGGTAGCAAATCTGCCCAAGGTTTGTCAATATGCCACGGACTGATATCAGAATCGAAATAAACAGCTAGCCGTTCAAGTTCTACGGACTAACACATCAAAAAACAAATCAATAAAAAGTGTGAAACAAGAAACCAGAAGGACATTTTATCAAGAAAAACATAGGAAGAATTATCACATCATATAAAAATCTAGACAAGATAATAAGGCTGCATTAAAATACATATGCACTTGGCAGTTCCCTTTCTTTCATTGTTGACATGATTACAGAGAAACTACAACCAGAGGCAAGAGAGATGCAGTATAGAGGTAGGTAATGGACTGCAGGAATGATATGATCAAGGACCTAGAATCTGGTTGAAGAGAGTAAAGAGAGACTAAAATTGCTTCAGTGAAAAACCACTAGTTTTGCACGACTATAGTTGCTAACTGATCAGCTATAAACAGAACAATGAGCACCAAAGTAGACTAGGCGCAAGAAAATTGGGGAAAGTTGAAAATAAGAGGTTAGCTTAATATATAAACGCATACCATAAAGAGGTCATTGGGTAGGGGTTGGTTAAGAACTTTTATCTTTTCATCAACTTAAAAGTCCGAAAGAGACGGACCTTCTGTATAAAATCCAATGCATTTCCAGTTACAAAGGTTTCACTCCCGCTCTCATCTACCGTCATAGCTGATAGTTTCTCTAAGGTCATACCAGCTGCAAAAGAGTGGCCAGGATTGCTGCACGACGAAAGCTAGTCAGATCCATCACAAATTCAAAGAAATCAACAGTTGAACCTCCTTACCTCTCAAGATCTTCATATCTGATGTGGATATTTGAAATTGAAAGCTTCAAATTCCCAATTACTGTGTTGATCAAAGACCCCAACCAGGACTTATTCTTGAGGAGGAAGGGAAAAAAGAAAATCGGTTACAGTGATGATACTTGATGGACAATATTCTGTGAAACCGCCATTCCACACAAGAACTATGATTTACATTTGTTTCCCATCCGTGGCAAAACCGAATCAAAGAGGATACCTTAAGATGTTTAATGATAAAAAAAACTAAAACAGAACATTCCAAGCAGCCTTTGGAAATCTTATATGGTAAAACTCAATCGAACATAACATATATGAGTGCCACACACACCAAGCAACAGGAATATCTTAACATTGATGTCAAATCTCAGTTCATTTAAAGATGTGGGTACTAATATCTAAAGATTATAACATTAGAATCCATGAACTATACTTTCTATAGAAACTGTAATGCCATTTCTTAATTACTCCTAATCTAGAACCATAAGCATGGATAATGCTGAACCAACTGATATTCTTAAGAAACTATAATGCCTCCTCTCCATTTCAGTATCTAGAAGCACAGGAATACTAAAAATAACTATAGTATGCTGCAGTTATTGACGCAAATTGACAGCCTCTTATCCGTATCTCTCACTTTTCACTTTCATCAAGAGAAGAAAAAACAAATCATTTTTCGCTGGAGCCATAAGTTCACGTCCAAAAACAAGAGGCAGCTTCAGCAATCAAAGTTAGTAAGCTAGATATCAGATTAACAGTCTACCACTGACAGAAGCAACCAATGAACCCATCATTCTGAGCATCCAAGTTGGCACACATACGTCAAAGTTTTATGTATTTGACAAAAGACAAAGAAATATACCATTTCTGTCTGTAGGATTCGTCTACTCTCCAGAAGCTTTGTTTCCATGTCCTAGTTGCGATCAAAAGAGGTAACATCAAAAACATACTGTCGACATGCAAAAAATTTTACTCGAGACTCAAAACCTTACTCGTATTCTACTCTTCTTAGCTTCTTGGACAGCATCTTCGGTAGATCCTTCAACTTGGGTTGCTGGCTCAGCTAATAAGAAAATACGATCCAGGTGAACTTGAACGGGATCTTGGCCAAGCCTGCTCCACGGTACCTATAGTTATGGACTAATTACTGACATGCAAATGACAATACAATTCCTTAATTAAACAGTCACCCATAAAAGGGATACGAACTGTCCCAATGTTACATGGAAAATGATAAGAAGTCAATAAGAAAAGGTAGAAGGAATGAAATATTTAGAGATACTAAGAATCCCTGGCAGGTGGACACATTGTAACACACCAAACAACCCAGAGTAGTCAAAAGCAAAAAGCGCAGCGAAGCACCATAATCTGTTGGGGCTTTAAGCACAAAGCAGAAATGAAGTGTGGGTTTTAACGAAATGCTCACCGATAAAGAAAACAACATACACACACGCACACACACACACAACTATATGTGTGTGTGTACATATAAGGCAACAGAAAATACCTACAAACAAGCACAATAATTATTTTGACAAAAGAATTGACATAACTATAATTAAGCGAAATTTAAGATGTAAAAATCATATCAATCAAGGTGAAAATACATTTTATAAATATCTGATTTATGTGAAAAGGGGTACTTTTATTTCCTAATCACTAAAACTCAACTCTTTTTTCTTTTGAAATGGTATTTTTTTTTTTTTTGAAGGTAACAAATTTTATAAATAAGATAAAGTAACCCTAAGCACAAAGATAGTACTAAGAGTAAAACATAGTTACAAGACCCCAAAAAGAACAAAAACCTAGTCTTGTAATAGTTACAAGGACCCAATAGTGTCCGCTATAGGTGGTAAGTATTATTATAAACAAACTAGCACAATGTGCCTGGTTACATCCAAAAAAAAGCCCCAATAGACCAAAAGAAGAGAACCTAACATATGTAGTGAAGTTTCAACAAATGATTTATCAATTTACCAACTATAGTTATTGTGCCCTCCAATAGGTGATGAGGTGCATGCATTAGCACCTTAAAGCTTTCACTAAAGTGCTGCTTAAGCGAGATGATGCGCACAGCCTGACATTATCTTATTTTTTAGGGTTTAAGTGCACCTCAATGAGCTTTTAACAACACTGAAACAACCTGCACCAAGTTACATTCCATTGAAGAGCAAGCCACCTCATAGACACGGACAAGGGAGGAGAAGTATCTAGGCTGTGGGAAGTATGTGCTTATTTCTTAGAGAGCATTGGAACTCTTAACATGCTAAGCAAAAGAACTTGTTTGTGGTTCATGTGGACCAAAGCTTAACCTCCAGGTTTGTTGATCAAAAAGATGTAATAACCTTTTTTTTGGCCTAAAGATCAACTTCATCTAATACTTCTAATGTTTTAGCTATCAATTGGATTGGTTTGAGTAATTCAAGGAAACCCAGAAAAAAGACTTTGAATTGAGAGTTAGTTATGTTCAACACTACTTGAAAAGATTGATTTGATTTGTTTGTAAAATTAGTGGATTTCACTGGGTCGTCGTCGTCGTTGTTGTTGATCTGTTTGTAAAATAGGAAATATACTTACAAAACCACGGGTGCTCTTATTAGGGATAGTTCCTAAAGTTACTTCAATATCCGTAGGAATATATGTTTTTAATATGAATTCAGATAATAAAGCACTTTAAGAAAAATAGCATGCGAAGTTATGAACCAGGTTCCTTCAAGAATGACCTAATTCTAAATTTAGCTTGCTTTATTGATGTTATTAGGTTTATTCAACTCAAATTTCATTTGACTCAAGGGTTGAGATAATTTCAGTACCCAGTGATCAATCAATCCTCCTTGTAGAAACAATAGTGACTCATCATTATATTAATCACTGTCATGTGTGCAGTTAATTTCCAAAATCACACAACAGTGGCACAAAATTACAACTGAAAAGGATTCAAAATATTATAAATATGCCCTCGAGTTCAAGATACTAAAGTCATAAGCAAAAGCATCCACAGCCAAGAACCAATATACTCGATTCACTTTCAGGTATTCAAAACTTCAACATAACTCATTCAGAATTCAGATGTTAGGGGTAGAACCTTGAGTCTCACAGATCCAAGAAATCCGGCCTTGACTTTTACAGGTAACTTCAATGCATTGAGAGCCTCTGGTTTTAATTGCATATTTACTAGCTCTACGTCACCTGTCACATACGCCACAATCAGTTAGTAACCAAGCAAATTTTTAATCCATACCTGCATTGTTTGACTGCAACAGATATTGTCAAGGAAAACACTTAAGAACTGTATTATATACAGTGGCATCACCCCCCCCCCCCCACCCCCCAAAAAAAAAGACCTAAAACCTCCACTTCCGTGGATGGATGTATGTTCAAGGCAGCGAGTGCACCTGTATCACTGCTTTTGCTCGAGCCATATAGAGTCAAAAAAGTTTTAAAATAAATCTGAACCCATTGCCACAAATAAGTAGTTGGTGACTCCGCACCTAAAATTCTGAATATACATCTAAGTTGCCAAATCAATATGTCAAAAAGAAAAACTTTGAACTGAATTGCGCTTAAAATGCTGTCTTTCGACATCATTGAAGGCATTAAAAAACAATTATCAAGAGGGGAAAAATAATAAAGGCAGAGGCAAGTTACTTGAACAAGATTTTAAAGACGAAGGGCTACTAATTGGGTGCTTCCCTTATTGGAGTTTGAACATCTATTATCAGCTTTAAAGATGCTATTTTCATCACGAATGAACTCTTTACTATGACCAGTAAATGCAAAACAGAGATATTCAAACACATTTTTTTTCTTTTTAGCCATAAATTGGATGGCATTTCATCGATATCATACCAATCTGGTGTCAAATTATTTAAAGCAACGGTAAGTGGTTCACCAACTAAGTCAACATAAACCTTATGTGTCAGGTCTCCCAAAACATTAACCATCTACACAAATTGATATTTCCATCTTGCAGCAGAAGTTAAAAGCAATAGAAGAGAACTCTTAACCTTCAACAATGAACTCTCTAGTCCATCAAAAGTTCTCTTATTTCTAATCCTCCCCAAACCTATGTTGCTCGAACTCGGGTGCGGGTATTCGATATGGGGACGGATCCGGGTATCGGATTCGGCAAAATCTAAATTTCAAAATTCGGGGGTGCGGATCCGGATATGGATACGGGTGCGCCGGGATATGGCTAATAAAAATTAGAGCTATAAGAATATTGTAAATTTTGAGAGATATTCAGTGAAAAACTTACATGAATATTGCAGAATTCAATCTTTCATTCTCCAAGATGGACATTATACTTTCATTCTTCTAAATCTGTTTTAGATTTGATTTTGAGAAATCAAAATCTCAATTTTTCTCCCAAATTTGTCGATGGACTCCGGTCAAAGAGTCCGAAGTCAGTTGACCGAATCCGGGACGGGGACGGCACCAAAATCGAAGAGACTGCAACTTAGCCCAAACCCCAAAAGATGAAAAGTGTTGTTGTCCTCCATAGCTACTTTTCTTCCTTACAATGAAACTCGAGCTCCACCATGTACTTAGGACAAACCCAATAGATATTGAAGGTTTGTAAATATCGAGGTCTAAAGTTCTGCATCACGCAATTCAATAGAATGTAATCCACCTCCTCGCATGCGTTTTGCACATGCAACACCAGCTCACCATGATATATCCTATTTTTCTCAAACTGCCTACAATTGGAATAGCTTCCCAAGCGGCAAACATACAAAAAAAAACTAATTGTTTTAAGTTTCCAAGAATTCAATATATCCTTCCACATGAGGCTTCACTCCCCACCAAACATCTATAATAGGACCTGACTTAAGTGTTTCGACGAGGGCCTTTCCAAATCAATACTATCTGCCCAAAATGTGTAAAGTTGTATATAAGAACGATTCAACTCCGAAGCAGGTAGGGGCTTCCTAAAAGAGATGTCTCATTCCTTCCCGCCTTAAAGTCTAGGCTACGGGTGTTCAATGGAAAAAAACAAGGAAAAATAACTAACAATCCAACAAATCTACAAAAGAAACCAACATATACATTGGGTAGGTTTGGTTTGGAATTATATTTGGAAAAAACAAAAACTATGTGATTTGATTTGTTATTATACCAAAAAAGAAATCGAACAAAACCGACTATATACATAACAAATTATAGATCATCAAAATTTGTATATAAATATTGTGTGGAATATCCGAAAAACCAACCCCATCATCTGAAGTGATGTCACCTATCTGGGTACAAAGTAGGAGCTGAAGTGGCCCTTTCGGCAAGGATCTTGTGGTGCTCTTTCATTGGACATGCAGCTTCTTTGGTCCTGATCCATATCATTCATATGACTTAATCATATGCTTAGTGCTTGGCAAATGTGAAATCTATTGTTTGTTGTTTCTTTCTTATTTTCTTCCCTCTCCATGTGTTTCTTTCCCACTTTAGTGTCAAATGTCTTTAGATTTGTCTCCATTCACATAATCTTGAGTAACTCAATTAATTCTTTGTTGATCCATACTGTTAACTGTTACTTTTCTTTACGTTCCAATACTTCCTCCTCTGGTATCATTCAAATTTGCCGTATTGCAATCACTTTCTGACTTGGGATCCTGTAAATGCTCGGGAATGTGAATCTTTCATAATACTCTTTCAAAAGTCCGCACACAAATGCAAGTATGATGTATCTAGTCCTCCATTACCCTTCCACAGTCCTATACTTCTCCACTACCATCTCCCTAGAAAGAGCATACTTCTCAATCAAGAATCTCCATAACCATTAGCCTAATAGAGCCTTGTTGAATACTCAACCTTTTACCTCAAGACCTCCAATTTCAATGAAGAGTCTGCTGATTAAGTGAAGCTTCAAAACCCTATATTTCCGAATCCCGTTGGAAGTATAACCTTCCTCTGTAGAGCGTGTTGCTCATCCAAAGTCTCCATACCAATTTTCTTAGTAGACCCTTGTTGAAAATTGGAAGACCTTTCATCCCAAGACCACTCACTTAACGTCCTCCCAATTAACTGAGTTGAACTTCCTAGCCCCATTTGTCGAATCCCATAGGAAGTTCCACCTCCCCTCATAGAGCGTGTTGCTCACCCAAAGTCTCCATAACCATTTTCTTAATAGGGCCTTGTTGAAAACTCGAAGACCTTTCACCCCAAGATCCCTCACGCAACATTCTCCCAGCTGACTAAGTAGAGCTTCCTAATTTGTCGAATCTTGTAGGATGCTCCTTTGGAGTCTTTCCAATTTACCAGTGAGTTGTGACATCGTCCAGTGCCTGAAACAATGACATGAACTACACAGAGATGCTCGATATGTACCTCTTTTACCATGCTGCCAGTGTTTTCTCAACTCTCTTAATCACTGGGATCCATGTTGCTAGGTCCTTATAAAAACCTCAGTTGCTCGAACACGATGCAGATATCTGACACTTGTGCAGATGTAAAGTCGAAGCTGTCATCACATAATGACTTAAGATTCCCGTAGGACCACTTAAATTGTATGTTGTACGAACTAGAATTATCGATTACTTTCTAATGAGGTTTCATTGGGGCTTTTTGCGGGTTCCTCTTTCTTACATCATGTTATCTTGATTCTATGAAGATCCACATCCCCTTGGATGTGTTTCCGTGAAATTTTGTTTACTGAATGGAGGAAAAACTAATCCAGATGAGCTATAAAACTGTTGTGGAAAAAATAAACCAACCACTTGGCAACATGAAAGTTGGACCAGACTGTTTCCTTATCCACTTCCAAATAGTAGACTAATGTACTTCATTGTAATTGAACAAAGAAAATATACATGGAATAGGTTGTATAAGATTTAGCTAACAAGAAAATTTGACAAGTAGGAATCAAAGGGACCACGCCTAGCAGAACAAAAGAACAATGAACATGGGTTAAGCCCAAAAGAAGATTCAACCACACGGGCTAAGCAAGGTTGTAGAACCAGTATACAACCAGGGAGATGGGGTAAGTCCATGATTTGCCTTCAAAGAGCTGGATAACACTAAATTACAATGGTGCAAGAAGGATTACAGTTATTAACCAAGTCAAGGACAATTTTTACAGCCGGAAGACTCAGTCAAACAACCACTTCTCCAGAAAATATGGAATAGAGGAACGTCAACTGAACGTGGGAGAAGACAGTTAGCCGATGTAGCTCTAAACAATGCACCACAAGAATGACCAACCCTACAGCTATAAATAGATAGCCATTTGTGAATAGAACACAGAGCAAATTAACAAAAGATACTTTTGTCCTAATCACTCAAACATTTATGCGCTTTTGCTTCACCACTTTCTTCGCGCACATGCCTACTTCAGCCTATACTATTTAACATTCAATAAACCTATATATGATGTGAAACGCCGGATAACAAAGTACTACAAATCCAAATTATACCGTTGAAAGCACTTTATTGTACAAATTCATCACAATTTGAAATCGACTAACATAAAAGCTAATGCTTAAATGGAAAATCAATTATACACTCAGAGAATTAGGAATTTACCTTGCCAAACGCTGATTTTGAGAGCTTCTTTGTTGAGTCCTCTAACATAGTTCCCCAAATACCTCTGCAACAAGTACGCTACCTGATCTTCCAACATCTTCGCGAACTTTCAACTGATCAATTCTTCAATTCAAATATCTATTAAGGCTGTGACTGAATGTCTACAAGTTTCTAAATACAACTTTGAATGTCAAAAAGTGAAGTGTTCCACAAGTTTCCCATGGCGAAGAAGAAATGAAGAAAGAGAGAATTTTAGAATTGGAAATTTGGACTCGCACGATCTATTTTCTTTTTCTTTTAATTTTCTTTGTTTCTGATTTTTTTTTATAAATATATAAAATGTCTAAAAAGTTTAATACGGAGGGGTTTTCCAGTTCTTGTAAGCTAAAATCTATATGCAGAATGCCGACTGACGAGGAGGGGTTTGAGATATTTCTTTTAATCCTAATATCTACACGTGGAGCAGCTAATATCTTGCCGAGTAATTTAAAACCAACGATGAAGGTAGGGGTTCATCACGTGCTACTCACGTGTTTGCATCAATTGTTTTTATTAAGCAAGGATTTCAGTAGACGATTCTGGCGACTTCCATGGTCGCCAGTATAGGTACCGACATGTATGTCGCTTTCTGGAGCCTACTGATATTTGTAGCGCTTTTTTACTTTCTGTGCGAGTTTCATCGCCACAAAGCTTGCATGTTTTATTATTAACTTTTTCTTTTTTTGGTTAAAAGGATATTTATATATAACTAGCAAAAAAAGACATTACACGGATAAGTCATTGGTGGGGTACTGTTGGACACCTAGTGTAGCAATGTTTTCGAGTATTGTATCCATATTACAACCCACAAAAATTCTAATAATATCAATTCCTAGGATGTCTGTCCAAAATACATCATTGGCAAACATCAAAGGAACTATTAGTATGCTAGATCTGTTCAAAAAAACTGTCTTCCTTGTTTCCTTGGCTAAGGCATCTGCTACCCTATTCTGCTCCCAATAAGTGTGCTTCACTACGACCATATCCATCTTGCATATTAAGGACCTGCATTCACGAATTATAGGATCATAAGTGAGGTTACCTATGATTAACTTTTGTTATAATTTCAGCGGAGTCAGTGGTGATGACTAAAGGAACCAAATTATTTTGCTCAGCAAGTTGTGGTCCTTTTAGGAGGGCCTTCAATACTACTAGAAAACTGTCATTTTCGTCCAAGTCATACCGACCGAAATCGGTCGAAAATACGTGTATTTGGTCGCAAACGTCAACAAAAGTTTTTTTGACAACGGAAATAATGGTCCCACGGCAAAAAAATAAAAATTCCGACCGTTTTCGATCGGAAATTGGTCAATATTTTACCCACACTTGGTCAACTTGTATAAAAAGTAAAAAATTAATTTTTTATTAAACTTTTTCCAAATTTCTGACTGAACTCTGTCGGAGAGTTTGAAATTAATATTTCCTGCCCAAGATAAAAATGTATTATAGCTTATAATTAAATATTTCCGACCAAGTTCGGTCGGAAACACGATTTTAAAATAATTAAAATATAAATTTAATAATATTTGTGTGTGTGCGTAAATAATAAATATCGTTTAAATAAACAATATTTAATACTTATTTGATATATATATATATATATATATATATATATATATATATATATATATATATATATATATATATATATATTTGTGTGTGTGTGTGTGTTTTAAAATTACTTTTATATGGACACTATATCCTATATCTATGTATGTATATATACATATATATTTATATATACATACATAATATTAAATTCATTTAAGATCCTAAATTTTAATATTCAATATTTAAAAAAAAAAAAAAAATATATATATATATATATATATATATATTATATATATTATAATTCGACTAAAAACGACCGACTTTGATCGGTATTGTAATAAAATTAATTATAAAAATAATTTAAAATCATTTTCCGACCAATTTTGTTACATCCCATGTTTTCGTACGTGAGAGTACGTCGTAAGTCAATTGATGTAAGCTAAAAAAATGAGATTGTCATTGAAAGTACATAACGTAAGTTCATCATGTTATCTTGGAGGTTAAAAATCTTTAAGATCATGAATAACAAGTACCAAAAGGGTTGGAAAGCTTAGACGCTAAACGAATTGAAGAAAATAAGTTTTGTCGAAAGTCAACAAGTTTGGAATGTTATAACATATAGTTTTGGGGTGAGACTAGGGTGATTAACATGATAAGGAGGTTAAGTTATGAGTTATTTTAGTCGTATGATTGTCGTTTGTTATGTTTTTAAGTCAAGCGAGTTGTGGAACAAAAGTTGGCAAAGGTCATCACAAGTTACATTCATAATATGCTGAAATTTAGGTCAAATGTAGTTGCACGTTTCTCCTAATATACTTGGAATCAAGGGATGAACTACATATTAAATTGAAGATACGAGTCTAGTTTCTAACGCATTAAACCGTTCGTCAATACGACATCGGACTAGAGAGATATTCGCATTTTCGCGAGACTGCGCAAGCAGCTTCCATGGGACCCACAAAGTCGGTTTAAACTTCAGCTTGTATTTAAGTCATTTATATGTCGTTTTAACTCATTTTTCTCATCCACAACAGTTCCTAAACCCTCCTAAATGCCTCCAAGGGTTCCTCCATGATTCTAGGGTGAAAACCTAAGATAAAAACATGAATCCAACGCTAGAAATCTTGTGGTGCTTGCTAGATCGTAGTTCTTCATCTTGTGGCTGTTTTGGAGGGTTCTTCAAGGGTAAGTAACTTCAGATTTCATGTTGTTCTTTATGTTTAAGATAAGAATCAGTCCCTCCTTCGTATATATTACAGTTTCAAGGCAAAATACAAGTATTTACACACCAACTTGAACACAAAGGTTGATTCAAGAAGATAATACCACTCCTATAGTGTTGTAGTGTGATTGAGGGTTGTTGTGAGCTACACCAGCTGAGGATTTCAAGTTGTATCTACTGCCTAAGGTATGTAAATCATGTCCTTGGTTGTGCTTAAGGTCAATCATGTGTTGGTTGAGTTGTTTGAGTGAAAATCTACAAAATAGTAATTGTCATGGCATAAGGAATCATTATCTTTTCTTTGTAGGCTGTGTTGAGGCTATATATATGGGTTGTTGCGGCTGGAAATTTTTATAAATAGTTTCATTATGTTGTGGCTGCTGTCTATGTGCTAATTCAGTGGATTGAAGAAGATAACATGAAAAATAAGATGTTGACGGTAAAGGTTAAGGTGTTAGGCGTGTGGACTATATTTGAAGATTATGCTTATGATGTTTTGTGTTGAAAATGATATGGTAAGAATAAGTATGATGTTATATATGTTGTAGGCAGATTCATGGAAAAGGAATTGGATTCAAACCATATTTTGTTAATCGTAAGTCGAGTTTGCCGCTCAAAATAGTTGTTGAACTAATCAGAGAGCTTATTGTGAATTATATTGTTGTTGTTTGGGTTGTTTGATGACTTTTGGTAACATATGGGATGTAGTACAAATAGGGGAGGTGCTGTCCGTTTACTTGTAGAATATTGTTTCTAAATATGAGAGTTGCAATGCTTATATGATGACGACGAAGTCGGTTTACTCATTGTAGACGTAAGAAGATCATATTAAGCTTGCTTGACGATTGGATAGAAGATTCCAAAGGTATGTTAAGGCATTTCCTTCTTTCGTTTGGCATGATCTAAAGTGAAATGAATACGCTATTTCATAACGGATCTACTCCTAGTTGCCTGTGTTGTTCTTTTCTTATAAAGTTATTCTAAGCAAGTATGTATGATCCTTGAATCCTACTGAGGTTAATATTGATGGTATGGATATACATAAAGTTAATCGAAGGTGCAACGACCTTACGTCACTCCGAAAGGTTTAGAACGTGATTCCATGAGTGCAGCATGCATTATATATAGTATATATTTTACTCTACCGAGTCGCGCTATAGTCAGCCGGGTACGGAACCTATTGTGCAACCACTGATCAGTTGGGTTTACCGAGCTCCACGTGGCCGGGTACGATTCTACCGAGCCTTATGATGGTTGGGTACGTTTTTACCGAGTCCTCTTTGAGGCCGGGTACGATATGATGATGATGATGCCTACAGAGGCGTATGTTTTTAAAAGTTTATGTATATATATGTATATGCATTTCATGTCAATAGCCCCCGGAGGCACTCAGATGTCACAGGTTGTATCTCCTCTATCTCACTTTACATTACTGTTCTTATTTATACTTTCATGCCTTACATACTTGGTACTTTATTCGTATCGACGTCCCTTTTTCCTGGGGACGCTGCATTTCATGCCCGCAGGTCCTGATAGACAGGTTGACAATCCTCCTAGTAGGCTATCAGCTCAGCGGAAGGTGTTGGTGCACTCCACTTGCTCTGGAGTTGCCTATTTGGTCAGTATGATTTGGACATGTATTGATTAGTATGGTGGGGCCCTGTCCTGACCTTTATGATGTGTATGTACTCTTAGAGGCTTGTAGACAGATGTCATGTATATGAAAGATTGTATGGCCTTGTCGGCCTATGTTCAGTGTATGAGTGTTCGTTTTGGTCTTATAGGACCGTATGTTACATGTATAAGTTTGTATTACATGTTGGGTCGTCCTATGTCAAGTATTCCCTTATGCTTCATTCTTGTTATCTCATGACGGACTTTCTGGATCATTTACCCATGATAGTATGATAAGAAAGATATGTTACGTTGGTACGCGGTTGAGTAAGGCACCGGGTGCCCGTCGCGGCCCTTCGGTTTGGGTCATGACAAATTCGATCGGAAAATGTCCAGTCAAAGGGCACTTAATAATTTCGACCGATATTTCCGATCGAAGTCGGTCGGAAATATTTAAATTAGTTCTGGCCCGGACGGGGTTTTCTCCATTTTCCCTCTTTTCTCTATCTCTCTTCCATCTCTCTTCTTCTCCTCCCCACTGCCGCGATTCCCCAAATCCCCACCAAAAATCTACTCCAATCTCCCTCCTCACACAAAAACGAAGCACCTAGAA